GAGGAGGATGTGGAGGAGGAGGATGGCAATTCAGATCTGGAGGGATCGGAGGACTGGACCAGTGAGGATTCCGGTTATGACACCCTTTCTGAGGAGGAGGAAGACTTAGAAGACGACGATGACGACATCGGACGTCATTCTCCTCTCATCCAGGAATTCCCCCTAGAAGAGCTCTGGCATGGCTGGCGCCAAGAGTCTCCTCCTGTTCCTGCTGATGTTGCCCACACACAGGTTCCTGAGGAGCGACTGCCCCAAGTACTTCCTCTTGCTGGTCCCTGCAGCTCTGTTGCAGCTAATGATGCCCCAGGTACCCCTTGCGCCTGTGTAGCAGGGGGCTCTTGCACAAGGGCCTATTTGTATCTTTTACCTTTTCTTCATTGTACATTTGTGAGCTTGTGTGCTGACCCTTGTGTGTATGGTGGGATTGGCAAGAATAAGAGTAAGTATAAGTTTAAGAGTAAGTATAAGTCTAAGAATAAGTATAAGAATAATAGTAAGAATAAGTATAAGTATAAGAACAAGTAAAATAATTGATTATGAGCATGAATAAGAATTCTTAAGACAAGAGTAAGAACAGGTAAATGTAAATGTCTGGTAAGGTAAGGTATGAGGTAAGTTACTTACTAATAACATTAATAAAGGTTTCCTGCAAGTTCTAATTTTACATATTTAATTATTCAAAGATTATTTATTGACTGTCATATGTAGTTTATTTTTCTCTTTAAGGTGAAGATTGCTATACCAGACAAAGGTAAGTTCATGACAACATTAATATCACATAGATTATTTATTTTACTTACTTTGTTGTATTTTTACTCAGGTATAGATGGCTGAAGGAAATCGAGATCCCTGCAGTTCAGTTCCAACACTGATCCTAAGAACCACTGCTTCACTATCAACTGTGGTAAGAATGATGTGTCATAAGTTATTCATTCTCTGTAGTCTGTTTTTTGTACTCTTGATCCATCATTTGCAATTATTGCAGTGCAGTGAACATCAAAGATGATGTTTCTTTTAGTTGTTACAGGTGGAGCTGTGAAGGCTGGAGCACTTCCCCTGAATAGGTGCAGCCAGCAGAGACCAAGACCAAGACCCGACTTCCAGACCAGACAGAAGGATGGATGACCACAGGACCAGCTGGTGAAGAGTGGTGGCCTTTGTCTCAGTGGGCTAGGTAAGTAATCCCCTCAGTGAGACTAGACAAGTAACAACAGTCACATGTTAGTCACAGGTGGTGATGAGCTGAAGTTAACAGTACATATGTTGATTATGTTTTTCTTGTAGCACCAAAGGGCTCCACTGAACCATTGTCACTGTACTAACTGCCAGTCAACAAACAGTATCTGAAGAGCCTGTGAGTAAAGAACCAACCCTCCACCCTCCACCCTCCACTCTCTCCAGCCACCGGTCCAGAGGGTGAGGAGCGTCCTGCCCTCCCGCACAGAGGAAGTTTTCACTTTCTGCTTCTTCTGTGCTGATGGGTTTGGGAAGCTCCTCACACACACACACTGACACGCAGGAATCTCATCATCTGCCTCCCTCTGTGTACAGTAATCAAGACAGTCAAGAAAGAGACACCAACAGTTCAAGCTAAATGAGAAAGAAAATCGTTCTTAATTGTTAGACACATTGAAATGTATAAACTACAGGACCTGAAAGCCTGAGTTAGAGCTTTGTCACATTTTATATAGCACATGTATGTAAACCTAGTGGTATAACGTAATTAGTGATAAACCTGTTACAACAATTGAATAATCTTTCATGTATAATGCAGAAATAAATATTGTGAATATTGTGATTTAATATGTGTTGCTTTTCATTTGACATGAAGACATTAGTGTTGTTTGTACTGTGGTATTTTGAATACTTTGATAAAAAAAAATTCAGTACATATTTATGTAATACAAATAATACACATCAAACAATATTGAAATACTGGTCAGGATGTTAACATTTATTTTTGCATCATTAATTGTTAAAGGCAGTATTAGATATACCTGATATACTATACAATTCTTTGTGTGTACTTTGGGGCAGTACATTGTCCTTCCACAGGTCTTACATACATATATACAGTATATACACACAGCCTGTTGTTCACTAGCTTGGTGTTAAAGTTAAAAAAAAAAAAAAATCACATTTGTAGACGGTAAAATGCGTCTACAACCACGTGTGTCATCAGAGGTCTGTTTCAACAACCTGGTAAACTGAGGACATCACCAGTGACCACAGAGTGCAATATAAATCGTCTTTTGGTACATCACTGCTGAAAAGGCCAGTTATTACTAGGAACCTGATTTCTGCATGTTGAACAGCCAAAGTGCTCAGGTGATCTTTGCTCTGTTCTGATGCAGGACTCATGGACAGTGTTGAGAAAAAAGATTTTAACTCCTTAGCAGAAAGTCACCTTGGAATTATTGAAGATTATGGAGAATAATCACCTTATCTAGGACAATGTGGTGGAAAATCTTTTAGAAGATTTATATTGATGAAAGAATTACCATGATAATTGGGTCATACATTTAAGATGAGGTGGACTAGCAATAAAGATCATGGTTTCATCCTTGAACCTTATCAACACTTGCTGACTAATCTCTGTAGGTACATCAATACTGAGACAGTCAACTGAATGCTGCATCCTTTGGTCCACCAACAATATACACGTTAGTTTCCTATCATAGCATCATTATCTTTAACAATCCTTTGGCTTAAGCCAGATCAAATGCATGTAGGTTTGTGGATGACAACAATCACAGCGAAAGCAGATTCTCAATTCAGGCACAATTGGTGGAAAAGAGAAAATTTAAACCAAATGAAACCAAAATGACAACATGCGTAAGAAGAACAAATGAATGTTTGGATGATCTGTAAGCTTCTTACAGCCATTTTATTTTAATCATTATAGTTAACCTTTTTCTTATCACCTTGACAAAACAGACAAAGGGACATGTATGACTCACTCTCACATACTCTTTTGCCTCCCAACAGGAAATTCTGCTACTTTCATCAACCTGACTGAGCTTGGTTCCTCCTGTGGTCACATACTTAAAAGTATTTTAGCATCCTGCACGGTTCAAAAACGTTCTAATAGTGCAATGTAAATGTTTTCTACTGCAGGACCATCTATTGCTTCATGCTCCTGCAGCGTCTTTGTTTCACACAAAATGCACAAAAAAGGTCAGACGCTGCCCCTCAGGGCTGTCTGAATCATAGACCAGGGGTGAAAAGAAATCAAAATGAGTCTCTGCTCTGCTACTGGAGAACCACCGCCTGGAAAGGCAGGTATAGATCAAATGAAAATAAGCAAGCTGGAGGAGCATCAAGGCCAGGGAGCAGGTCATGGAACCGTATACAAAGCATTGGGAGGCAACTACAATGACTGCAGAACTGAAGAAGAAAAAAGAGGAGGAGAAGCAGGCACAAAAAAGAAACAAAAAGAGGAGAAGGAGGCACAGAAAAAGAAACAAAAAGAGATGAAGGTGAGGATGAAAGCAAAGAACAGATGTAGACAGAGAACAAGAGGGAGATTTAGAGCTGGATGCACAAAGATGGTTCAATCAGTTTCTTCCTACTCAGAGTTTTTCCTCTCCATTGTCACCAAGTGCTGTTCATGGTGGGAACTGTTGGGTTTCTCTCTATAATATTGTAAGGTCTTGACCTACAATATTCTAGGACTTAAAGTGCCTCAAGATAATGTATTTTATGATTTGGTACTGCACAAATTAAATTATATCTGTCCCTTTTTATGCAGCATGGTGAGTTGCATGTGAGTAAGGGAAATGGGACCTGAATGTCTGCACCACACTTGCTGTGAGGTTTGCTCTGCACCCTATGGTCTCTGCTTTGTCAGCAATGAGTCTTTCATTGATTTCCAAAAGAACATCAAAGGCTCTTGAGATAGTGTTATATGGGGCATGATTCCTGTTGTTGGTCCTTTACCTTGATTCTACCCTTATTGCCCTCGCCACACATTCGTCAGGCAGCCAACACAACATACTTGAACTTTGTCTGGTGAATGTGCAAAATCATGGGAAAATAAACTTGAATTTTAGCCTGAGGAAGAATCACCACGGCCATACTTAAGCAGTTATTGTTCACAAACAAAAGCTTACATTCCAACACTTTCCCATGAACAGCGGGGTATTTGATTTTTTAAAATGTATTTATGATCTGTGAACAACAAGCACTTTTTGCAATAAACTAGCATATGTGACTTTTTGTATTGTCATAATTTCATATCACATCTACATGGCCGATTTGATCTTTTTACAAAGTAGATTGAACTACTTTTTATAAGTAGCTTTAACTAAACTGGATTTCTCCCTACCACAGCTTTGCTGTAGTTAAACTTCTTCCAGTGTGAGTATGTATGGAGGTTTTTGATTTTTTTAATGTAAAGCTCTCTGAACTGCTTTTATATGAGAAAGTGCTCTCAAATAAATTTGAATTTGAATTCCAGTGGGCACAGTGTAGAGACTACATTCTTCAGTGAAATTAACACAGATTAATAGACTACTAATTATTAGCCTGTTCAGTACAGATATCATCTAGGTATGCATAATAGGCTGCTGTTTTATATTGACGTTAATAGTGGGCTATCTGTATTAATGTATACACATTTTGCAACAATATTAAATTCGTTAAAGTAGCGTTAGTGATATAGGCCTAGGTTTTCCTGTGAGTACTTTCAAAATAGTTATCAAACTGAAGCAATCTAAAAGAATATAAAGATACTTATGTAAGACTGTGTGTTTTTCTTTTATTTATTTGATTATTTATTTTATTCATTTATTTTATTTAACAAACAACGGTGCAGTTCCTGACTACTTCAAAATAAAACTTTCAAATTAGACCAACCCTCAGCTAGAACATCAACAACAATCAACTCCAACTGGCAGATACAGAGAATGTACTGACGCAGAGGTGAAGACTGAGCACAGATCACCGACATTAAGCGGGCGGTGTAGGTTTGAGACCGGTGCTGTTGTGTAGCAGACGTTACGGTGGGCGGACTTAGAACACAGAGCTCAGACGAGAGTTTGCTTGGGCTAGATCCCCGACGCGATACTTCCTAACGGACGTCAATATCATCTTTTTACAACGTATTTTTTTCCCGTGAGTACCGTGCTTCACACTTTCAAACGTAGGGTTAAACGTGATTTAGCCTAATATAACCTAATTATATTATCGGAAGTTAACGTGGTAAACCAGCTAGCTGTCAATTTACTAGCACTCAGATCACTAGCCCCATTAGCCTGCTAGCGTTAACGTTAGCTCTTTCGCTCCACAACGACTGGGATTCATTAATGTTTACTGTGTCATATTTTCCATGAGACTCAGTCAGTGTTTCATCAGGCTGCTTTAGAGAGGGGCACCACAGTTTTGTGCAGCTGTATGAAGCTAAGCAGCTACATGTTTGGCGTAACGTTAACGCCCAGTTCGAGTTGTGACGGTGTGTTGTTGCAGGTAGGTTAGTTAGTTTACTGTAATGTTACTGCCAGTAAAAAGGATAGGGTGTGTACTGTCACTGTGCAGAGCCAGCTTTTCAAGGTAAGATAAAACCCCCTTTAAAATGCTACTTCGTATTAATGTATAATAATGGTAACAATAACAACACACTTATACTACTACTATTACTTATAGAGCACTATAAATACAAAAGAATAAAGAAAGAAAAGAAAGAATAAAAGTACACGTTGAAATATATGATATCAAAACCAGAAACCAGTAATATTAATTAAAGAAATTATCAAAAGCCAAATAGTTGTTTTTTTTAGCTGTCTTTAAAATGTTCACAGAGCCCCACAGTTTTGGAGCATATGTATATCTTTCAGGGCAAACAGATCTTTGCCAACCATCTCCACAAGTCCACAACAGTAACGTCCCTGTCTGTCTGTGTTGTTTCTCCAGCTTGTTACCAGTCAGACATGGCTGCCCAGTGTGTAACCAAGGTGGAGCTGACTGTGTCCTGTGACAATCTCCTGGACAAAGACATTGGCTCCAAGTCGGACCCTCTGTGTGTCCTGTTAATGAGCACTTCTGAATCTCAGTGGTATGAGGTCAGTGGGGTGGTTGCATCTAGATTTGTTTAATACCAGAGAGTTAATATTAGTTAGCTGAGAGTAAACCTGCCAAAATCTGGGTGTCTGAATGTCGAACACATTGTAGTAGGTCAGTAAAGAACCTCTCCAGCTCTTGGAAACAGATAATGTGATATATTTAAAATCATACATTTTCCTAGGTTTAGTAGTTATGACACCGTTGCTCTTGCAAGAGAAAATCTCAGAGCAGTGCAAGTCGTTAACCCCTAGATGGAGAAGTTATTGTGTAAATCAGCAGTCACATAATTTCCTGTTTGATCTGTGCATGTGTGCCAATACATACTACTTATTACTCCTTTATGTTCACAGAGATACTACTTCTCAGACTCTCTCACATAGCAATCCATTGTTTCCTAATAGGTGGAACGCACAGAGAAAGTCCAGAACTGCCTCAGTCCAAAGTTCGCGAAAAAGTTTGTCATCGACTACTACTTTGAAATCGTTCAGAAACTGAAGTTTGGGCTTTATGACATTGACAACAAGACTATTGACCTGAGTGACGACGACTTCCTGGGGGAATTGGAGTGCACCTTGGGCCAGGTAAAGTCTCTCTTCTCTTCTTCTGGAAGGACACACCTCCGTGTTCACAATCCCTGTTCGTAAAAGGCCGTCTCTTAGCCTCTAAAGCTGATAATAGATAAATTCACTTGGACTGTTGGTTGCTTTATGGTCTGCTGAAGATTTGTCTTCACTCAAGACACTCTCCGTGTAATTTGACCTCACATGTTCATTCTGCCTGCTTGTTTTGTCATGTAATTTGCCTTGTGGCCTGGAGGCTCCTCTGTTGTATTCATTCTGCTGCGTCTGCTGCATCTCCTTCATCCTTATTAAACTGCTCTCTGTTTTTACTTGTTCATAGGTTGTGTCTAGTAAAAAACTGACCCGACCACTCGTCTTGAAGAACAAGTCACCTGCAGGAAAAGGGACCATCACAGTGGCAGAGAGAGTTAGAGAGACATTTTGTGATATTGTTTGCCTTTATATTCATTTATTTATTTATTTTTTCCTCTGTTCTGCTGTAGATCAGTGCAGAAGAAATAAAAGATAATAGGGTGGTGAATTTTGAGGTGCAAGCGAGGAAACTGGATAACAAGGTATGGGCGATTCTTTTTAAACTCTTAAATGCTGTCACTCGTCTTTTAGAGATTTAGTTGCATTTTACTTATTGCTGTGTTTCATTTCTTTATTCGTTTTCAGGATTTCTTTGGGAAGTCTGACCCTTACTTGGAATTCTACAAGGCAACAGGAACTGGATGGCAGCTGGCTCACAGGACAGAGGTAAACACACTCCTGCAATGACAGTGCTACATTTCTTATACAAGTATTGAAATATTAACCTTTCAATTCATTCCTGTCATAACTACACATGAAGCAACTGGGATATGAACAATGATTTTCTTTCTCTCTAATGGTTAACTAACACTTGGTTTTCACTCATAACTGTCTGTGTAAAAAGAGGAACCCCTGATGGCTGTGATGGCTGTGTTACACCACAGCCTTTGCATTTTATAAATGTGGGGCCAAGCTCACATTTCTCCAGTTAGAAAAGTCATGATGTTGGACTTGGTGCCCCACACAACGGTAGATTATATAACCCACCCCCTGTGCTCTCATTAAAAAGCTTACTTAGGTTTTTTGAGCTAATGTTTGAGCTGATGTCGTAATTGTGAATGAGGAAGCAGGGAATTCATGTTTGTGTGTGGTTGAATTAGAGAGGCCTGAGGGTTTTTCCTTGTATGACATCAGAAATGATCATTAATATAAATCAGACCATCAAAGCTAAGAATAGACAATTTATTTCATTCAATTGTATTGTGATTTACACAATTTCACATTGCCGTTGTGGTGACACTGTGAGTTTCTCCCCTGGATACCAAAACAGTATACATTGATGTATATACTGAATTGGGACACAACACTGAGCATCTTACACTGCAATACCTGCATCATTTCTGTTTTCGGCTTATATCTCTAAGTTTAATAACTGTAGCAAATTTAAGAGAGAAATTTGAGAAATCTGTTCCTGGACCTTGATCGATGTTCAGCTCAAGGTTATCTGGAAATGTGATCGCTTCACAGATCCAGTCTTAAACCTCCCGAACTGTTTGTAGGCTCATTGGGGTGTGCTGATTAATATCAAATATGTTTGATATTTGGGATTTAAAATTGGGATAATTATGACTAATTATGTCGGTCCCAGAGCGTCTGGTGGTGTCGCCAAGCAACAGTAAATAGTCTAGTGCTTGAGGTTAATGTTAGCATACTACTGTTGACAGTAACAAAACAATCTCACGGAAGAATAGACAACTTGTGTTGACCGTATCTCCCCAACTAATTTTTCATCCAGACTCTCTCTGCTTTTGTTTTTTCTCATTGCAAAGTTTGACTAACGTTACAAGTTGTTGCTCCACAGTCTCCATTTTGTTTACATTTGAATCCCTGTGAGGTCACATGAGATGAGATCAAGTGAGGTGGTGCATTGCTCCCTGATTGCTCCTTCTGGCAGGATAACCTTAATAAGAACCTGTAGTGTGATGTGTGTTTCAAATCTTGTAGAGTGTGTATGTTTGAGATTAGAGAGAAGGTAATCTGTTAAATTTCTCCTTATGTGGGGCACCCTGGTGGTTCACCTGGTAGAGCTTATATAACATAGGCTCAGTCCTTACTGCAGCGGCCTGGGTTTGAATCCAGCCTGGGCTGCATGTCATTCCCTCTCTCACAAACACAAACAAAAGCCAATGTGGTGACAGTGGACAACCACAGCACGGCACTGTCGATCTAATCTTGAATAGTATGCCTCATCAAAATGTAGTAAATAGAAAACCCAAATACAACCAATTTTACTCTCTTAATATGTGTATGAAGAAAGTGACATGGTGTGAGCTCATATACTTCACATCGATGCTGTGTTAGTATAATGTACAGTATAATAAGTGTGTATTATTTGAAGCAGTTTCTATTCTATTTGTAAGGGTTCATGATTTTTTTTTTGTGGCAGGAAATAAGGAAAAGAGATAACTAATATTCATACACATACTTTTAGTTATTTGTCTATGTAGATGGAGAATTTGTCTTCATGCAGCCATCAGTTAATTTTACACCATAAATCACACAGCAGCAATGTTACCGTCTTATCAGATGGTCACACTGACTAATGAGCAGACAGCTGCCCGCCATACAACACCAGCAGACACTTGGAGCAGCAACCCACATTAGCTTTCCTGCTTAAGCGTCCTTCTTATCATTACAGACATGAACATACGTCTTGTCGTGCACTTTAGCATGTTGCGATAAGCATAATGTGATAGCTTGTATGTACAGTCACTCCATCGCTTAGTTGGACTTTAAGAGTGCAAGTCAGTCGGTGTGAACAGGGGATGCGTTCACTTACTGTGATACATACAGAAAGTTATCCTCTCCACTGCATGAATATTTTACACCATGTATTCCATTCATCAGAACCAGGTATTTCTTTTTGCCATGTCTTAGTAAGGGATTTCTTACAAGCCACCAATAGTATTCTCCTTCTTCTTCCATTCAAGTTGTTTAATCAGGCACATCAGCTCAAAATTCAGAATAATTTGGATTAGAAAGACAGTTTCCAGGATGGAACTTTAAAATCTCATTGATTTTTACTGACTGTGAGTTAGAGTCTGCATATGGCCCATGTTAATTTGTTCCAGGTAAAATGTTTTGTGTGTGTGTGTGTGTGTGTGTGTGTGTGCGTGCGCGCGCGTGTGTGTGTGTGTCATCTTCACTTATTTTGTCTTCAGGTGGTGAAGAACAACTTGAATCCAACATGGAGACCCTTTCGAATCCCTCTGCAGTCTCTCTGTGGAGGAGACATGGACAAATCGATAAAAGTACACTTAATACCTTTTGTAATATCGACTTGCACCTAGAACTGCTCTGATTTCAGTGGTACTTATTTTCATGTTTATGACACCGTACAACCCTTTGAGCTTTTATTAATGATGAAAACAGTTTTCAGATTAAACTTGGGTTGGATCTCCCTCTCAGACGTCTGGAAACATCTGAACTCATTATAGTGTATTTAGCACTAGTTTGACGATATATATTTTTTTAACCTCTGAAGCAAACATGTCAGGAAGGAAGCAGTTTCCAACCATACAGGACAAGTGAGTTACCCAGAGCAGCCGCCAGTGTTTGTCTTTTTTTCATCTCACCATCACTTAACGGGTGAAGTGTGTGAATGGGGTAGTTGGAGCATAATATGAGACACCTCCTCAGCACGGTGTCCAGCCCTCAAACTTTCCTTCATCCAACTCGATCCTCTCATAGAACACGTCTGTGTGAAACCACATACTCTCGTTTAAATCATGTTACAGCCAGTGTCTGTCTAGTACAGCAGTATTACATAGAGTTATGCTTTGAATCTCACTTTTGCATGTTGTTTGTTTCTTCTGTTTTCTACATCTCCAGTTTTTTAATAAACTTAAAGGGTCAGTTCACTTAAATTACAAAACTTTCCTCTCTTACCTCTAATGCTGATAGTTTTGATTTTATTTGATCAGTTTTTGAAATATCTGAGAGCATCTATTTTATGTGTCCCTGTGACTCTGGATAATTTGTAGACTTTGCTCTGAGCAGGTATCATCAAGATTGTTTCTTAGATAGAAAATATAGTTTGAATGAAAACTGTTGAGGTCTGGATTATGTTTTTGTAATTTGTGTGAACCGACTCCTTAAGAGAACTTTTTTCTCCGTGTGACTTCTTTTTCTCGCTTGCCAGGTCAGTCACATTAAGTATTTCTACGTGTTTCCAGGTTGAGTGTTATGACTATGACAACGATGGTTCACATGATCTCATTGGAACTTTTGAGACCACAATGACACGCCTCCAAGAAGCATCACAGACTTCTCCGGTATGATTGTGTGTGGGTGTGTTCACATTGTTTGGATGTAACAGCCGGAATTTCAAATACCACCACAGCTGGTTGTGTTGATTAAAAATAATTATTTTTTTCAGTGGGCTGTGGTGGAGTAGACACTGTTTTACTACAATTTCAGTTAGTTAATCAGGTGTTGACGCAGACACCCATGCTGTTCTGTTTTCTCCACAGGCAGAGTTTGAATGCATCAACAGCAAGAAGAAACAGAAGAAGAAAGCCTACAAGAACTCTGGTGTTGTGAGCGTGAAGCTGTGCAAGGTGTAGTACTGTGTTTGCCTTATGTTGTTATGTCGAACTTGTTCTTGTGTGATTAGTCTTTGCATTTCTAGAAGTATGGATTTGAGATTACATGTTCTCCAATGTTTTCTCTAGGTGGTGAAGGAGTATACATTCCTAGATTATATCATGGGAGGCTGTCAGATCAACTTCACTGTGAGTTATGGCCTCTCTATTTATGAAAACTTTTGTTTCCTTATGCTCTTGAGTGACTTATAAGGCGAATGGTATCTGCGTGTGTTGTTTCCATGCATCACTTGCACGTCTGCTGGCAGGTGGCTATCGACTTCACAGGCTCCAATGGGGATCCCAGGTCTCCTCAGTCTCTGCATTACATTAGTCCTCAGGGTGTTAACGAGTACCTCTCTGCTATCTGGTCTGTGGGCAACGTCATCCAGGACTATGACAGGTACGACACAGTCTAGTGCGTTCTAAACTTCACATACAGATTTATCTTCTGTGCAAATGGGAGCCAATTTCAAAAAGTTTTGTACAAAGTCACTCATCCACTAAAGTACCCCTTGTTGTCTTTTCTGTGTAGTGACAAGATGTTTCCTGCCTTTGGCTTTGGAGCCCAGATTCCTCCCTCATGGCAGGTAAAGCTTGCATTTAAGTAAGACTAAGATGTATACAAAAGTATGACTGCTGTTTGCACACAGTTTGTGGTGATTTTACACAGGAAATGATATCTGGTGATGTTGTGTTTCAGGTGTCCCATGAGTTTCCTCTCAATTTCAACCCATCAAATCCATTTTGTACAGGTGTGTTCACAAGTCATTGTTTTATAGGTTCATTTAGATACATTTTCAGACAGATGGAAGTCGATGATATTGTCTCATAAGCAGGACGACAGCTGTACTCAGTTTGCAGTGTGTTGATACAAGTCTAAACACTGTTGTGTGTGTGTGTAGGTGTTGAAGGCGTGGTGGAGGCTTACAGGGTGTGTCTGCCCCAGGTCAAACTCTACGGTCCCACCAACTTCTCCCCTATCATCAACCACGTGGCCTGCTTTGCTAAGCAAGCCCTTCAGCAGACCACTGCATCAGTGAGTATTTGTCTGTTGAACCATTGCCAAAAATACAACTGTAAACTCATTGAGTTTCACAGTGGGATGAATTTCCCTTTAAATATATAACATATATTTTGAGGGCTTCATTGACCTAAACAACATTAGTCATGTTGTGAACAAGATGCAGGACCAGTGGCATCCCCAACTTTCCCCAACACATAGATGTAAAAGAAATACTTTATCAGGTTTGACTTGTTAAAAAATGAAATTCTTCGAAATCTCATTGTTACCTGTGCACTGCCACTTCCTGTAGCATATGTTATTTACACTTGCAGTAAACACTTGTGCCACACTGAGCATGATGGCAGAAAAGCCTGTTAATACTCATTTCCTAATTCTTTGTGTATAATGTAATGTACTTTTCCCAGCGGAGCAGGGTGATTTGATAATAGCTTGATCCAGAGCATCTGGAGTTCAAATGAAAAAGCTCCATTGAAGGGGGTGGCGTTGGCTCACTGAACAAATGAGGTGGAGTGCACATTTATACGAAACCGTTCCAGCAATTTTAGGTCGACAGCTAATGGATAAACGGATGGATGGATGATTTGTTTTGTACACGAGATATTAAAATACATAAAGACAAAATAAGTACAATTATCAATCAACTTGTCAGCACTAACAATAATAAAGTAAATCAAGCTGACATTTACTTCCACTTACTTCATTTATGCATCCATTATTTCTTTCTTCACTTTCAGGATATTAAACATAGAAATCCAATGAAGCATAATACAAATAAACATTCAAAAGCCATGCAACAATAAAAAGCTAACCAATAACTACGATAATATTAGGCGAATAAAATAACATAAGGTTCGAAAAGTCCATACTTCAACTCACAGTGGTTCTCTTTGTTCTCAGTGGTTTGGAGGGAAAGGGCTTTGCAGACAAGGGTGGGGTTATGTAACTTCCTGGATGTGCATAATAGGATGACGGGTGATATCATGCTGGAAAATAGCTGGATGTATCTGGAACTCTGTTAACCTTTCGTTTTGAAATGTAATCATCTTCTTAAAAGGATTGAGGTGGAGGAGAAGACACTGGAATTTGTTTGGGAATCTTGCACAGTGGCCAGAATTACTCATGCACAGATTGCAAGTTTTAATGAAGACTCAAACGCTTGTCATAACAACTATTTAATGATCGTTCTTCTGCCCGTGTTGTTGCTGTCTTCCTGAAGCAATACTTTGTTCTGCTCATCATCACTGACGGAGTGATCACAGACATGGATGACACCCGCAGCGCCATCGTCAACGCCTCTCGTCTGCCAATGTCAATCATCATTGTCGGAGTAGGTGGGGCCGACTTCAGTGCCATGGAGTTCCTGGATGGAGACGATGGACGACTGCGTTCACAGACAGGCGAAGCCGCCATGCGAGACATCGTCCAGTTTGTGCCGTTCAGACAGTTCCAAAATGTTAGTAAAATTTTATACAATTCACTTTCTTAATATGAAATAAGGAAACGCGAGTGGTGTGGGTTGTGATTTCAGGTGATTTTCATCCAATTCATTGCTATAAAAACTGCATGCAAACTTTTTCTTAAACATTCCACTTTCAGTTTAACTGGCTTCAAAATGACAAAAATCAAACATAGTAGGGTATGCACGTTTAAACCCAGGGATTCAGCCCAGCCCCTCAGTTTAGATCTCACTTAGCTTATTTGTATGCCTTGTGTATTTATCTCTTTTCAGGCGCCCAGCCAGGCTCTTGCCCAAAGCGTATTGGCCGAGTTACCTCAGCAAGTGGCCTCCTTCTTCAGTTTATTCAAACTGAAGCCTCCCCGCGATCCCAATCCTTCATAGGGGTACCCCAAATATTTCAGTCATAATCCCCACCACTATCCTAGTCTGTGTTTAGCCCATATGACATTGACTGCCTCGCTGAAACACTGCATTAATCACCTCTATCCTCTTTTTTTCATCCCAACTTTTCCAACTCTGTTTTCTCAGCAACTCATGCTCATTTACATAAAGGGAAAACTCCTCTCTAGATCACTAATTTGTGATACTATTTGCAGTTTTAGTTTTTTTCTATTGTTTTGATGGGTATTTCACCAATTCCAGCAATGTACAAAGATATTTGCAGCACAGCTACAATGACAGCTTGACATTTTTATGTATTTTCAGCATTAGCAGTAAATCTCAGGTTCTGGTGTGTATCACAGAAAACGCATCTCTTTTGTTACATTTATACTTGGTGTCCACACTACTGTGGAGTTTTTGAGCCTGTAAAACAGAGACTTTTGGAAACACTCCTGGCCCTGCATTTTAATGCTACAACTGTTTGCTGTTCCTTGTTCTCTGTGTTTTCTGCAACTAACCAACTGCAGAGTAAACAATCTGCTTCCTTTAAACACTAGCACCTGCATGCCTAGTGTACGTGAATGGTCACGTGATATGTTTCTTCAGGTTTGATAGTATTGTCATGTAAAAGAATGGAATTTTCCTTTAAACTGTCTTCATCTGTATGACTTTCTACTTCTCATTCGTGCTTTCTAATTAAATCAGTGGTGATAAAGATCACATAATGAATATTTCTTCAAAAGTTATCTTTTATTTTTTCTTCACTGTTTTGTGCTTTTGTCTCTTCAGGCTCCTAAAGAAGCACTGGCAAAGAGTGTGTTGGCAGAAGTCCCCGGTCAGCTTGTGGAGTTTTTCAATGTCATGAAACTGGTTCCACCCAACTCCAGTCCTGCACCAAACCCTGCGGCGAACATCTGATACTACAAGGAGGAACCCAGAAACAGACCACTCTCATCTCTCAGATCCCATCTTCATCACATCCTGTAATTAGATTCCCTCCTCCCTGAACCTCACTAATTCAACTCTTTTATTCCACCACCTTAATGAAATACCAGGCTGCAGCTTAGTTAGTGACGACCAGCAAAACCAAACACTGTAGTTCTTCCACACTGTTGACCAATCTCTCTTTCTAAAGTGTCAGATGAGATCTAGCTGATAGGTGTATGCATGTATGTTCATTTTAGCAGGTTTATCCGGTGCTGCTGAATCTAAGAAAAAGAAAATTATCATTAAATCATTCCATCATTTTAAAGGAATAAGTTTATAAGCAGTTAACTGCACTACTAAAAAGCTTTATTGGAAAAAGTATGAAAGATAAATAGCACAATTATTGAAGTCATCAGTGTTTCTGTAGTACTTTTAAAAATGTCATTGCCAAAATGCTACTCTGGGTGCTGTTTTTTTTTTTTATGCATTATAAAAGTTTAAGATAACAAAGGTGATCTTTTAATCATGGAATCTAGAAATGCATGAGAAGCTGGTGTGAAGAAGCATGGGTTAGCATAGGTTAGTGACCCCCCCCCCACCATATATGATGTTTACATCCTCAGAGAAATAGCTGCAGTACAACTAGTAGCATAATTTTTTTATATATAAAGTTGCTTTGTAGTTGTTGCTATAGGCACATAGAGTGTATATCTATGTAAATGTCTGCTGTTGCACATGCTCCCCTATGCACTCACCTGTAACAACTATATGATATACAGATCTAGTGATTGGTTTTACTCACTGAAGTGCCAAACGGTGTATTTATACCTCTAAGTATTAATCTGAAATATTGTGATAACTGGAAAATAGTCATGGTAGATCTTGTATTGTGGCAGTCTCATCATCCACTATATATTTGTTAATTTGCTGTGGTCCACCACTGTGCCAGTTAGTTTATCTTTCACATTTTGATTGGCAAAGACACTGTGGGGTAGTTTCCAGGACGATTTTGCCAATGGTATGACCATTGAATTTTGATTTAGTCAAGGTTTAAGCTCTGTTTGGCAAACTGGCCTCAAATTCATATACACTCAGTTTATAAGTAACACCTAGCTAAAACTAATGCAGTCTAATCCAACAGTCGTGTAACAAATCCTCCTTCATGAAAGATCTATATCAGACATCAGAGCCTTCATGGAGGAATTATTACAAAACTGTTGGATTAGACTGCCTTAGCTTTAGCTAAGTGTTCCTAATAAACTGCTAAATGAATGTATATCAGTGTTAAACCATCCTGTAGAAAGTAGATACAGTGTGCTGTTTGTTTCCATTATGATTTTTTTATTATTGTTTTTTTATGATTCTATATATGCTATGACATCTATAAAACACGTATCTGATGTTTCATGTTATGTATCAGAAATGCATTATGTGCCTTGGTGTTATCATCCAAAAAGTGCATCAAGCCTGCAAATAAAGTACCTCTTATTCAGGACAAACTGAGCTTCATAGTTATTTAGCACTTTAAAGCCATTCATCATCACTTATATCTTTCATGATCAGTCACCAGAACTTGAAGTCTCTTTGTGGTCGTTGGAACAAGGGCAGCATATAGATGAATAGTAGACACAATATATGTTTTAAGTGTCAAATGTGGACCTATTGACAAGCGTATTACCCACATGGTTATAAACTTGTTTGATGGTAAAAGCTATTTTTATCTACAGATACACATACCCTTAATCCAGTTGAAACTGACAAAAGTAACTGGCGTACACCATTCTCAATTCCATATAGAACAGACAAGTAACTTTTAGTTTTTGATGTAACATATTATCTAAAATAATACAACAAATAAAAAAGGCATTGACAAATATGCTGGGACCCTTAAACTACTATTTTGTAGCTCTTGGTGAGACATCTATATTTCTTGGCTGGTGGTTTGTTTGAACTATTGAAACTGCTCCACTTTTCTCAGGTGTGATGGCTGTTTTCTCCCAACTGTGAAGTTCAGTTCAAGAGCGGGCACCTGCAAAATGGTCCAATGTTTATTCTCATCCATTCATGGCTGCTTTTAAATAGATGTTTAGACTTGTTCTCCTGTTCCAGGACCAATCACCTGCGAGTGAGACAGAGCTCTGACTCTTGCCAGTATGTTTTGAAAGTTTAGAAATTCTGGTGCACTCTAAAGGTGAAATAAGGCATTTGTTACATCTATGTAACCATATCATTACTGAAAGAGGTGATAAAGTGATATGATGGAACTGGATATTATTATGGTAATATCCATTGATGTAGCTTAAATGTCTGGCTGCAACAAAGTTAATATTTTAAAACTTAGTGGGCTGGCGGGAGTGATGACTTTACATGCTTCACCATTATCTCCTCATTACTTACATCTCAAACCTTTAATTGATGTAAATGTCTTCAAGAAGCACCAACTCATATAAGAATACTATCTTTGGTATTTTATTAAAAATGTTGCTGTCTTATCTGATCTTATGAATGCAGCCAAAATGTCCCAGCTGCATGGGACATCCATCTACCACAAATGGACACAATCAAATACTTTATTGTGTAAAAGGGTACAAAGATTCAGCTTATTCACTGATATCATTGTCAACAAAATACAGAGTGACAGTGGTTGTTGTGACTTGGAGACTCTATTCACCTCAGCTTAAAGACCTGTACTCAGGCACTTCACATTTTTATATAAAAATATGCTATTCTCTTCATTTTCTGCCTAATAAATTAAGACATTCGACATCTTCTGTTCAGTCTGTAATCCATCAGAATTTTCTACATGACATTTTTCTTTACTAAAAACTCTAGAATCAATAGAATCACCTTGTGTGTTGTTGAATGCACCTCAGAGCTACAAACCTACTGTAAACCACGTTACCTCTTACTTTTAGCAAGGCTAAAACATTCCTTATTTAGTGCAGAAATCCTACACTTACAACAACCTTGACATAAATGGCCAGTGATCTGAAGGTCAGGCGTCTCCAGCAGCTTGGCTAGCTGTGCTTGAATGTCAGGCAAGTACTGTAACAAGCAGAGTTTTGAGAGGACTACAGGTAGAGCCTGATCCTGGTTGTAGTTACATGCGGTGGATGTTGTTGTGATCCATGAACTGTTTGAGGTTCTGCAGGTTGTCCCACCACTTGAAGAGGAAGGTCTCTGCGATGAGGCTGAACCAAGGTGTGATCTCCAGTTCCTTGCGCTTGGCCTTCTCTAACATCTCCTTCAGCTCCTCCTTGCTCACATAACAGTGGCTTTTGATCTCGTTGGGGTCGGGACCCAACTCCACGTCCTTCAGAGAGACGTAAGAAAGAAAAGACACTGTTACTCTCTATAATCTGAATCAATTCAGGACAAAGATGTAATGTATGCACCCACATTGAGTCGAACAGGTGTTCATCAAGATATAATCGTTCATCTTCTGATACATAACCACTCTGAGGTATTGTGTCAGCAGTAGTTCAGCTGCAAACTGCATTGGTTCTGTATCTCATCATTAAAGTGTCAACTAACTTTGCAAAGATCACTGAGAAATGCTGTTCTGCAGCTCTTGGTGTTCACAGCCATTTGATTGGATAGAGTTGTGCCCAAAGCTTAGTATAGTGCATGCACTTTCATCTCACACCTTAGAAAGCAATGAATTCCCAAAGATTATGTAGTTAACAGACTCTCTCTAACTGTGACTGCACTGGCAGTTCTGTTTCTTCATGTGTGAAAATTTAATTTCCGTGTCACTGTCCTTTTTTTACTCCTAGTTTAGCTCATTTCCTATGGTTCAATGGTTTCTGGAGGTTTTTAAAAATCCAGAGAGATGCAGCAGTCACGCTCAGAGAGCGTAGCCTGCATCCTGTAACAGCACATGTGTGGTGAAGAATGCTAAAACAACTGGGACTGAGCAGAGTGAGTTATGCTTGTTCCTGAAAAAGCCTTTTCAGTTTGTGCCTCTCATGTACACTATTATCATTACATTGGAGTCACAGAGCACATTGATAAAAAATGTCGTGTTCATTTTTTTTAAATGTTAAATATGCTGGTTTTATGTATGAGGTTTTGCATGGACTTGCTCAACCACCTTTAAATGAATTCATTAAACGGGTCTGACGGTGGCATTGCCATTGGGGCGACCACTAGGGTGGACTGAGAGGTGCCGCATAGGTGCACCACATTTGGACAAACTGTACTATCAGTAACAGGAAGTAAATATTGAAATGGCTTGTGTGTCCTACATATCCCACTTTCAAGACATGTAATTGTCTTTTTATTTGTGTACCTTATATTTATATTGTGTTATTATTGTTACTTATAATTTTTTTGTTTTATGTTACCTGCCTAGGGACTACGGATGTAAATTCAGATTTTTGCGACAATTCAGCATGTTTACATCGTGTACTGATGTTAATTAACATGCAATGTCTCTATCAAATAAACAAATCAATAAAATAAATAATTCAAATGACTATAGGAATAGTCTCTAGGCTGACAGTGAAGCTACAATATGTGCTTTACTGTGTAATCCGTACTTGGTGGGGACAGGGTACATACATGCTACCCAGTAAGTCCCAAACCAATAACTGCCTGTACTCCATGTGTACGATGTAAGTCAAAACTGATGAGTCTTGATATCAGCTTTACTGGTCAATATAAATGTTACTTTCTATCACTTTATATTGTCATACGAACACATTTGTAATTTTCTTGTCTTGTAATTTTTCTTATGTTCTCAACTTGAGCAAGAACATGTATCATTCCTGGTCACAGGATGAGAAAACTGGGGCTAGAAACCCATCACTTATCCTTATGTAATGCAAATCTAAGACCCAACAGACATTACTGTGCTACCTTCTGCATAAAGAGGATGTAGTCGATCTCATGTTCTCCCCAAACACCGTCTGACTGGGCCTTGTAGTGGATCCTGGTTAGATATGTCATTTCATCTGGTGTCACCTGAGGCGGAGAAGATCAGATGCAGGAAAACATTCACCACAGTCCATCAGAATCCACTTCCATTCGACGCAGAAGCCAGGACTTCAAACACACACACACACACACACACACACACACACACACACACACACACAGTATATTTACCTGTTCCATGGGGATACCCAGTTCAGCTTTGAGTCTCCTCTGAGCAGCTCTCCTCACTCCTATAGCATCCTTCTCCTCCAGCTCACTGTCTGTGTGTAGAGGATGACTGCAGCATGTGTTTGTGAAACAGCCTAGGAAACACACACACATGGGAGATGTTTAAACACACTGCCTACTAATGCTGGGACTGCTTATAGGGGTTTAACTGGGGGGGTTTAATGCTGTGCTGCTGACCTGGAAAAGTGATTTTGGCATCAGACCTCTGTTGTAAGAGCAGCTTCTCTTCACTGTTGAAAATGAAGACGCTGAAGGCTCTGTGCAATAAACCTGGTAAAACAAAGACACAATTTATTAAAAGTACAAATCTGAAATCCGGGTAAAAGGGAAATGTACAACAGGTGTGTGTACATTTCAGCATTGTAGACAGATACCTTTGTCGATGTTGGAGTTGAGGTGGCAGTTTTTCTTGGTATCAGCTCCGGTCCTGCAGTCGTTCTCGTCGATGAGGATGCACATTTCAGACAGTAGCTGCACCTGCTTCTCGTCCAGGTGATCTGTGGTTATCTCAGGCATTCTGACTGCAGACTGCAGGTGTCTCACCTCACTGCAGGGCACCACGACCAGGAGCAAGCAGACAACAGTAGAAACAGTTCAGTGTGTTGACAGACCTGACCCTGACAATATTTCTTACTGTTTAATAATGTCTGCAACTTTTTTAATTACTTTAAAATCTGTCCACTATTAACATATTACAATTAAAAGACATTACATATTCATGTATAATGATATAAAGAAAGGAGCAAATGGTCCATCAGACACCAATGTTATGATCTTGGCCGGTAAGTTAACAAAATGTGCATGTCAAAGTAATATGGCAATAAATGCAGCTTGCTTTATTTGGAGTATGCCGAATTGAAATTGCTGTCATGAAAGTGAAAATGTGTAATTCAACCAATACAGAAAGCCACATCAAGTTGAAGACATTTTTAAGTAGAAATTGGCATGAATTTATTTCCTCACAAGACAGCAGCATGTATTCAGCGAGACAAACAAGATACAGTAAGCTCAGCTATCAATAGCACAGTCACTCAGCTTAGAGACAACAAGCTTATCTGTGGCTTTTCTGTCTTTAACATCTGACTATGACTTTCAGAAACCTACAGAGCCCCACGCTTACCTGGCTAAAGCTCTGCAGCAGGTAGTGATAGGTGTGCGGACGGGTCTGCTCCACAGTGCTGCGGCTCTCCCAGTCGCAGGTACGTTTGGTTTCAGCACGGCGGCCCTGTCGCAGATCACTCTTCGAAGCACCGCCCAAACAGCCCGCACCATCGCCTGACCGAAACGGAAAACCAATCACACGGATTGAAGCTGTGGGTGTTGGTAAAAACCGGAGAGGAGTTAACCCAGTCAGGATCAGAGGATACACTGAATGATAATTCCGGAGGATACAATGAATGATGATGAGGATGGACATGAACTACAGCTCCCGTAAAATTGATCATAAAAATTAATTTCGTTATTAACCAATAGATTCAAAGTTTTATCAATAGACTGTATAATTTCAACCCACTAAACCTTTTTACCCATACCTCATTTATCAGTACCGTAGTATTAAATTTATCAGAACTGTAACTAGTTATTATAGTCATTATTGATAAATTTAATAGTTATTGTTGAGATAAACTGATATTTTAAAATGAGACACAAAAATAAAAAAAGTCACAACAGCTTCCCAGAGTCCAATTGGTCATCTGAAAATTTCTTGTTCTGTCTAATCAACAAACTCATTCATAATTCCTCCATTAAAAGATTTGTCGATAATATGCCAGAAAATAGTGCTATAATTTCCTAAGGTGACACCCTCTTACAATTTACAGTCATGGTAGACAAAAAACAAAAAACATCAAATCATCATATCTTAGGTAAAAACACACTATATACAAACATACTATAACAATTATTCGATTATCAAAATAATTGCAGATTCATCGACAAATCATTGCAACTTCAAAAAATACTCCATTAAAAGTAGAAGTTGTGTAATGAAAACGTACTCAAGTAAAAGTATGATTGTGTTGTCAGCAAAATCTACTTAAAGTATCAAAAGTAAAAGTACTTGATGCAGTAAAATGGACCCTGTGACTGTTAGATCACTGTAGATTATATGATTAGTTGTTACTGATGCATTAACATGTAAGCAGCTTTTTACTGTGGAAACAAATGATCATAAATGTATATACTGCTGGGTAGTTCATAACAATCCACCATATTCTACAAGCATGTTATATTCTCCATGTAATATAAACTATAGCTTACTGAATTGTAGCGGAGTATGAGTGTAAAGCAGAATAAAATGCAACTAATGTACAAGTGCATATGAATACATGTATTTACTTCCATCTGACATTACACCACTATGACCTCTATCTATGAGGTACAGTAGTTCGGAGCTCGCAGTCCCGGTCCAGAAGAATACACTCCGGGTTTTAGTCAGAACTCGCCATCAGACCACAGCAGAGCCCGCACCACCCAGGCCTCTGACAGCTGGACTTAAGTATGAACTGTTTGCCACATACACGACCTACAGAGAAACCGATAAGGCGTTCAGCTACTTACAGAAGTACTCTCCTGTCTCCGCTGGATAAACCGCGTCTTTTAACGTATTATCCGTTTGTTTACGGCGACATTTTACAGCTCAGTGCTGTAGTCGGACGACCTAGCTTTCACTCCCTGTTTCTGACGTCACGATTTTTCATTGGTTGGTTTAGCGGCGGCGTGATACCCCATTGGCTTAAAAAAGAGCAAACACAAACCACGTGATTTAAAAATAAAATACGTTGATGTGTCGAAAAATGACTAAAATTGTCATAGCTATTAAACTGTAGCTGTCAAAGTCATACATTGACAACATGCTGAACACTACAAATTAACAGATTCACACGTTGCACATCGAACTAGGAAGGTCATCCACCACCTGCTCGGTTATGTATAAACGTACGCTGCAGTGACGGCGATATGTGGCAGCTAGCCGTGTTAGCACGGAGCTAACCCCGTTTTCAGACTTGCATGCTGGACGAATGTGAAGTCAGACAGGCAGTGACAGCGGTGAGTGTCGGAGCTAATCCGTGCATGGAAGCTGCTGGGTCACAAGTCATGAAAGCACGCATCGAACAGTAATTTACCCCGTTGATTTGCTAAGGACAGTTATTGAGCACAATGTACAATAAAATCACGTGTGCTGTCGTATGTCACAGTTCCACTTCCAGTATTTTGCTTGTGACTGTAACAGTAGCTAAATTTTAAAAGCAATTTGGCCGTACGCCTCCATAAGAATAGCACGACCCCGCATAGTCACAAAATGCGTCGTCCTCTTAGCATGTCAGACTGTGCGCCGAACTCCCTTTTAAAAATACTGAATTTAAAGTCGTAATGTTTGTTGGTAAACGCAGGTACATTATGGTTGATGATTTAGGTTTCTTGCTTCCACGGCTACAAATAGTAAATTCGGGTTGGTTATAATTTACCAGGAAACGTTCATTTATTCGACAGTACCTGTTATCGCTACAGCCGTCTTCCAGCAGCAGTGAGTAGTATTTAGTAAAGTGAATAAATAAAATATCTTAAATTAAGTTCGACGAAGTGTACAGGTAGCATTAAATTGCTGGATTTCTGGAGTTTGTAATTCTGTTGTTTCAGAGCAGTTGGTATCAGGCCAAGACTGCACCAACAAGCTCCCTAAATCTGAATATATCTATTGGCTTTTTCAGATCTCTGTGGGAAGTTACTCTTCACATTGAGCAGTTCCTTCAATGGCTGTGAACCTGAACTTGACTTCCATATTACCTGCAGGTAGGTGGTGATAACCCACCCACTAGCCAACCAGGGAGCTTGGCTTTTGTTCACCTGCTTCTCAGGTAGGACGTGAGCAGGGGGGCAGGGCCACCCAGCAGCTAGGAGGGATGCCTGTGGAGGGCGGAAGCAGCAGTGGCTCTGCTTCAGCTGCCCGTCACCCCAAGCAGAAACGCAAGGCTCACAGTTTGTCTATCCGGCGCACCAACAGCACAGAGGACAGGCCACTGGGCATCCAAAGAGGAGACATGCTGGAGGGACAGGTGAGGGAGATGCTGCCTTTTCTCTCTCTTTCTCTCTCTTACACACACTCAAGCACATGCATTCTTGACATCTGCAGACAAAGATACAGACATATAATAACATGGGTTGTTGGAATGACCCACTGAGTTTCTTGTGCGTCTGTTTAAAAAAAGCATTTACCAGAAGGTTATTCTTTGTTAATTAGCATTTTGGTTGTCATTCTGTTCAGGCGTGAGGCTGTTTTTTGTCATGAGGGTACAGTACTAGCCGGTTGAGCAGCATTGCTTTTATTTCTACCTGGTGTAACAACATCCAGAGCTTCCATGCTACAGTGTGTTTATGAGATGTGGTTTCTCCCCCCTGGGAAAAAAAAAATGTTTTTTTTGTTTTGTTTTGTTTTTTTCAAGTAGCTACGAGGATGAAACTTGGTTTGATCAATATTGTCTAGATTTCACATCCTCTTAAGTAAACCGCCTGGTGTGGATGTGCATGCTGGTTACTGATTCTTTGTGGTAAAACAAAGGAATCTACTGTTACTTTTTAAGCCAACTGGTTTCATGAAGTTAGCGATTAACCATCTCCACAAACATTTAAATTGGAGCCACAATTGATTTATTTCTTCCAGAGAGGGAAGACTGTAGGCTTTTTGATGGATGAGCAGACATTTCCTGATGCAAACCAGCTGTAGAAAACTATCAAACCTCTTCTCTGCTGAGATAATAAAAGTTTCTGTTTGATCAAGATTTGTGGTTGTTAACTTTTGGGAGTTGGCTCTAGAGTGACCTTATTGACTGTCATCTGTCAGATAAACCTAATAAAGAGTTTGTGAGTAACTGTCAATTGCTTTAAATAGTATCAACATGTTTTTCTGTTGTGAGAAATTGAACTGGTGGACAAAAGAAAGACAAAACTGTTTGATTTTAAGCAGTTGACTTTCTGCAAAACGTGAAGCTTTTTCATGATCCAAATTTTGAATCAAAGTATTCAGTCCAAAATATGTGATGTGAGGATTGATTTTTGTCAGTATTCACCAGCTCATGGAAACCCTTTAGTATTTACTTTCTCTGCTCGACCACGTCCTTGACTTATCAGCCTCTAAAACTAGAGCTCAGCTTGCACTGGACTGTTGTCTCATCAAGTTTTAATATGGGCTGCTTGTCCAGGACTGATTAGTCTTTTCACCAGGCCTTTTTTCTCTTTTGCCAAGGCATGCTGCCTCTGTTTATGTGCTTAGTCTACCCCACACAGCACAAGTTCCTCATACACAGACAGCTTTACAAACCTACATATTACACACAGAATGCATTTTCTTCCCCACTTTCAATGCGGTCATTATTCGCTAGATTAGGCTGTAGGTTTTATGGCCATAGCTAAGAAGCTTTGAATTCATAGGGGCTGCCTGTTGTTTGCGAATTGACCTTTTTGATTTTAAAAATGTGTTGACATGTGGCGCTGACAGAATGGTCAGGTGGTTAACGTCACTGTGACAAACTGCTGATTTGAGTGCGTGCCAGAAGAAAGAGTGACGGTTAAGTGTTTGCTTTTCCCGTCTTTCACGTGGCTGTAGAAATGAGCAGCAGCTCTCAAAGCGAGCTGTCAAATGCAGCTTTTTGAGTCCATTGTTTCACAGCAGCCTTTACGTCTCTTTGCATGGTAGTCTGCTGTCGACTGGTCGTCTGAAAACTGGGTAATTCTAGGGGTTCACAATGGAGGTAAGTGAGTTGAAACTGGTTGGACCCCGCTTGGTGTGTAGCTAGTTCATTGTAAGTAGGTTGTAGTTCTGCAGCTCAAAATGTAGCTGGGTATGCAGCGGGTGGCAGATTAAAGCAGGTAAATATACAGGCTACGTCTGATTTGAGATTCATGTGGATCTCTTTCGATTTGTGTGGTGTGTATTTTATAAGTAAGTCTCTTTGAATTGATATTAGATACCTGTTTGTCATTGTGAAACTGACTTCAATCATGTCAGCAGCAGCATTTTTAGGGTTTGAACATATTAACTTAAGAATAGTGATTTTAAAAAAAGAAAAAAAAAGTTTATAATTTGCTCCATATTCATCAAAGTTACAAAAACAGAAAAACTCACAAATAAACAAATGCCACATGAATCATAATAACAGTAGCCACAGTCACAGATAAATTAAGTGCAAGGTAATGATTCTTTTAAAAAAGAGAATACATAGACAGCACCAGTTAAAATTTCAGACACACCTACCCATTCATAGGTTCTGGTTTATTTTTTACCATTTTCTACATTGTAGAACACGAGTGAAGACATTAATACTATGAGATAACACATATTGAATTTTGTAGTTAAAAAAAACAAAAATATGATTCATACTTTAGATTCTTTAAAGTTGCCATCATTTATCTTGATGACAGCTTTGCACAGTATTGGTGTTATCATAACGAGCTTCATGAGGCAGTCACCTGGATTGCTTTCAGTTAACAGGTGTGCCTCGTCAGGAGTTAATTAGTGGAATTTCTTGCATTCTTAATGCTTTTGAGACCATCAGTTGTGTTGTGTCGTGGTAGTGTTGGTATACAGTAAATAGCCTTATACTAATCCATATTATAGTTAGAACTTAGAACTGTAAATATATATGTGTATAAATACACATATATATATGTATGGTGGTGCCATTCAATTTTCATTCAATGTGATACTGAATTTTTAGGCCTCTATCACAGTTTACTCTGAGGTTCATACATTTTCTGTCCTGTTTTTTTCTGTCTGTGCAGGACTCCAAGCTGCCTCTCTCCTTACGGAACAATCTTCTTGACCTTTTTGGCCAAATTGAGCGCGAGTTTGAAAATCTTTACATTGAAAACCTTGAATGTAAGTAACTGAAGATTTTGATTTTTTTTCTTACCTTACTGTATTCATCTCAAGGTGTTGGCTGACTAATCGGATGGTTTCAGGGTGCAGGTAGTGTTTGCTTACGGATGCCCTGTCACTGTGCTAACATTACAGTACGCCGGGAAATTGACTCCCTGAATGAGCGTCTGACCGGAGATGGACAGATTATTGAAGGAGGAGATCCCACCAAGGGAGCCCTGAAAACAAAAGGTCCAGTATTTCCCATATATGTTTTGTTACTCTTTAGGCTTTTGTACTCATGAATACATTTAACAAATGCTTTTTCTTGATGGAGACAATTGTGTGTGTAACACTTAAAGCTGGTACCTATAAGGGGTTAAATCAACATACTGTTTATTTATTATCTTTATAACAGTATTTAAAAAAAACAGTCATCCATCTTTCAGTTCACATAGTGCTCAACAATGATTGGCTGCATCCTCAAAGGTCATTGCATCGTGAGTTCAAAAAATTCTTGTTGTACGTCTGTGCACAAACACAATAATGGAGAAGGCAACCTGCAAAAGTAGTCTGTCCATGATAACGTGAATACACCTTGAGGGATCTGTATCACCATTATATTACTAAAAATTACTATCGGCCAGAAGATTTGTTAAACACTCAAATTTTGATATTAGCTTTAATGGCAGTCAGTTTAAAAACACCTGTGTAAAAGATATGAGCTCAGATTACGTGCACACAGCTATTGCGGCCTTTGTGAAAATGTGATGAATTTCACATGGACATGACTCATGTTCATAGTGCAGCAGTAAAAAGGAACTTTCAGGGGAAAAACACCTGTGTTTCAGTCTGACAGGCTGATTAGAAGGCTGATTAATCCTGACATGAAGCTGAACCTGAAAATTAGCCTGACCAGGAGAATTTGGAGGATACGTTTCCCTGGTAACCTAGGTCAGACTTTATGAAAAAGCTTGCTTTAACTGCTAATCGTGCTTTATCAAACAGCCTTGTGGAACTGGCACATCCCTGCTGGTCCACAGGTTGTCAGAAGTCATTAGCAGCCATGATGAGAGTGCTGACAACTAACCACTAGAAACACACAACACAGATTTGTATTGCTGATGTGTGTGCTACTTAGAGTCTTGACACTTTATTAGGCCGTTACTGCAGCAGTGAAACCAACCATTGTTCTTTGTCTCTCCATCACACAGCCAGCCACAGCACCAGTCAACTGTCACAGAAGCTGAAGACGACCTACAAAGCCTCTACCAGCAAGGTACCTGATCCCAGCTGTGTTAAGCGTTCTATAGAGCCTGTAAGAGTGGTCACCTGTGTGAATGACTGAGCTGTTGGGATTCTGGCCTGGGGTAATAGTAACCACACATTCAGTGAGGGGAAGGAAGTGTTTGTGGGTGAACAAGTTGTGACCAAATGTTATTATTGTGAATTGTTTTGAAGCAATGATGGATTAATATGAAGATGTTTGACGTCTTCCTTTTTAATCTCTTGCCGAGGTAGAGATTGTACGCTCTCCACAGCAAAATAGGTGGACCTCGCAGCTTCAGTGTGGCCACATGGGAGTTGTGGGGTGGAGATTCATGGGTAACTTCCTGAATGCTTTGTTTGTCAGTAAGCATTGTGGGAGCAGCTGTGGGCTGAGTCTCTTTTTTTTTTTTTTTTTTTTTTTTTTTTTTTTTTAACTAAAGTCCGACCTTGACTCCTCATCTCTTCTCTGCTCTGCACCCTGTCAGGTAATCTGGGTGAGCGGCTGCATTTGTTAAATCTAGAAAACATATTTGTTCAGTTTCTTAAAGAAATGTTTTGGAAGTGATTGGTTAAGTTATTCATTACAGTAAGGGCTCTATTTTAACAGTCCAAAGCACACGGTCCAAACCCCATGGGGCAAATACATTTAGGGCACGTCCATATCACTTTTGCTATTTTAGCGGCAGAAAAAACGGTCGCTGCTCCAGGTGCATGTTTCAAAAGGGTTGTACTTGGTCTCTTAATTAATCATGGGAGTGTTTTGGGCGTAACATTCAATAAACCAATCACTGTGCCACCTCCCATTCCCTTTAAAAGCCAGGTGTGCTTACACCTTGGAATATTGCTATTATAAAGTTGCAGTGTTTCAAACTATTTGTGGTGAGATGATGACATATTGTGACTGACCAGTGAGCCAGTCCTGGTACACACACGCAGCAGCTCTGTGCACTCTGAGGGGAAAGGAAGGGCTGAGTCGATCGGTGCACTGCGTACAGCTTTACAAAGAAGTCAAATCACGACGCTGGACATATTTTATGTTATATAAATTTGAGAAGTGTAAATACATTTTTGGTTCATTATGACACTGTGGTGGACAAATTTAGTCTAGGTGATGAATGGGAAACACTGTGGCACATTGCTTGTGTGTAACAGGCAGACTGCCTATTTAGGCGCATAATTACTCTCTTGATAATGCGCCCTTAAAATACCAGGTTTTGTTGGTCAATCACTTTCTGCTGCCTCAAGATAGCAATATGCCAACAATGTAGCTGACCTCACCTCACTTTAAGACTAACAGGCCCATGGACGCTCAGATGGGTGCAAGTGTATTTGCTATTTAAACAATGTGGCTGCCGGATGGGAAAATGACAACTGCAGTCTGAAACTGACAGTTGAGTTGCGTTCTGCGCCAGGTGTAAGATGGGACCCCTCGTCTTCTTTCAGTAGAGTCGAATCTGAATTACAAAATGTCGGTGTTTTTTCAGGTTTATCAGGAGTCAGAATGGTTAAGTTTAGACAGAGTGACCACAAGCTGAGCAGCCAGTTAGGTTAGCTTAGCACAAAGAATAGAAACAGGACAAACAGCTGCTATGGCTCTGGTAATGGTTAAAAAAAAACGAATTCCTGCCATCAGCACGTCTAAAGCTTTATATCCATTATATGTAAAAACACTTTATATCCAGCTTGTTAAATCCATACAAACACTGAAGTGTGCCTGGACATTTCTTCAACAGCCAAGAAATAGCTCAGGACAGATTAAACGAACAAAATATACCACGTTAATATCCAGTCTTTATGCTAAGACAACCTAACCAGCTGCTGGTATTAACTTCATATTTACTGTACAGACATGAGAATATCGTTGATATTTTCATCTAACTCTTGGCAAGAAAGTGAGTCATTCCCCAAATTGTTTAACTATTTCTATAAAGCAGGGCTCAACAGTGTGAGCATTTTGCAGATGCCAGTGTGTGCAAGTGTGAAAGATATTGTGGTGCACTCTTGGGAAAGACTCTGAGTACATTAATAATGGACTAGTTATGTCAGTTTGCTCCTGCCTCTTATGCTCACTGTATGTTTAAGATTCAATGTTTAAAAAAAGAGATGCATTAATGTCATTTCTGAAAAAAAACTGTGCATTTAATTTTTGTCTGTGCCCCTTTGTTTTCATGTAAGGGCCAGTGCTCCTAAAAATAAACGTAACATAGAGCCCTGTGATGGTTTACCGTAAGTACCAATGTTGAAGTGTTTTACTTCAGTGACATGTGGCTTCCTCTTATTTTTCACTGTCTCGTTGCCTCTTAAAGCTGAGAAACAATCTTAAAGCAGCCAAAGTCTGAGCTAGATGAAGAGTGGGACTCAATCCTCTTCTAATTTGAGAGAGATAGAAAAAGAGGACACATGAGTTCAAGGCAGGACTTCTTAGAATAACCTCCTGATGAACTAGTTGCTATTTAATATACAGCTAACATCTCAGCTGGCAAAGAAATATGACCAAAAACTAAATTTGTTATGACTAAAGGGGCTTGAAACTTGAAACTAATGATCTGCACTAACTGTATCCTCAGTTGCTGCTCGGATGACCTTGACTGGAATGAGCTATTCTTCTTGATGCTCACTGCTCATTGTGTTTCTAATGACAGCAAACAAATAATATTGTCTCGTAGTGCAATGTGAATGTAAACACACCAGACAGAATGAGAGCGTATATTAACACATGTGAACCAGATGCTTCGCTGCTGCATGTAATGACTTCCAATGATCTAAGCTTATTGCTGTGGTCAGCATGTACAGTCAAACTACAACCTGTCCCCCCTTAGATTGTTCTTCTGGGCGACTGAAGGCCATGTGTAAACAGACCACTAGATAATCTTATGTTAGGTGTGCACCACTTGTATAAGTGCACATCTACCGGTGCTTGATTTGGCTGAAGTGCAGTTCGATATTAATACTCTAGTGACACAGTTTGGTGCAATTTGAAACCATAAACCTTGTGGCAGTTGCAGAGATGTGCTCTGATGTAAAAACAGCACCTGTTAACAGGATGCACACACACACTTGGCTTTTGCAGGCTGCCCTTCTAGAGGCCTGTATCACAAAGAAAGCTCAACTTAGTCTGGCTCTCTTTGGTTTACCCGCCTTCTCTGAGCATAACGTCTGAGTGATTTACAGCAGGTAAAACGTGAGATAAATACTGTAATGAAGAGGCTGTAGAAACACTACGAATAATATCCAAATGTTAAACGTAATGCTATGGCTATAAATAAGCGTAAGTTATTAGGTAGGCATATTGAAATATGCTCAGCATTTTTAACATGTTCAGTAGTTCTTAATTTGTCTCACGATGAACAAACTATTATGAATAGGTGATGAAAGGTTATTCAAAGATTCTTTCTACTGCCAAAGAAGAGAGCAAAGTACAGATAATATGTGCAAAAATGGCTGAGGAAAAGAAATGGCTGATAATGCCAAAACTGTAGCATTTATAATTAAATAAAACAGCGTGCACAATTAATATCCAGATATAATTGCAATTCATTAGTCTGTGGTGAACTATCTCTGTTTCAAACCCAGAGTGGACACATAATTGTATTGTATAAAAGCATTTCCTCTCTGACACAATTATGAGCACCAAAATGATTCTACAGTTATTCTACTGTTATTTTGTACATGTCAGGATCCTGTAGGAATGATGACTCACTTTTTTCGGGGAGCTGTCAGACTGTTGGCAGGTTTTGATCTGCTTTGGAGCAGATTAGCCGTTAAAAGTCAATCAGCCTCATGACACCTGAGTTAAGCCAAGAGGAGGTGGCTAACCCTCTCACTCTGTGATACAGGCCCTAGATCTTACATAACCAAACTTCTTATCTGTGAATCTGTTTGTCAGACAGCAACAATAAACTGTGATGTGAGTAAAAAAATGGAAAGCTACTGTTATGTCTTGTAGTCTCAGGTATGGTTATGTTGCCAGATTTCAGTTAAAGGTCCCATATTTTACACTTTTCCTGTGTTTTATTTGAAGTGTTGATCCATCAGAAGATATATTTGCAGTTTAAAAACATCTCATTGTAGTTTCACATCTCCTCTCTCAGGCTTCTCTCTGAAACCCTTGTAACAACAGGTCAGTGAGCCAATCAGAAGAGAGGAGCATTTCTTATTGGCTGACTGTTTTCTGAATGATTGAATAAAAATATAGCAGAATTCAGGTAAACACTCAGAGAAACCAAATCCTACAAGGTTGGGCGGTGGGTCAGGATGGGCAGGGCTTGGGGCATGGCTTAGATATGTGACTGTTTTGTTGTGACATCACAAAGTTACAGAAGTCCTGACTCGTTTTAAGGCTCAGTTTCTGAATACGGGCTGTGTGCATTTCTCTGTGGACTGAGCACTTTGATACTTTCATGGTGTTAATATAGAACCTAGACCTGTTTTATAATCAAAAAACACATGGACATCTAACTTTTATACTATATGGGACCTTTAACAAACATACAAAATTGATTCCCTTGTTTCTGTAACTGTAGCATATAAAGCCATGTAAAAAAAGCTGCATACATTCTGGTATTTATCATCTTATATTGTCCATCTTGTTTCTTTCTTGTCTCTGTCATGCCCACCTCTCCTCCCTCCCCTGCTCAGATTGTGTCCAGTTTCAAGGCCACCACAGGGTCCCGTGCCTTGTGCCAGCTGCTCAAGGAATACGTGGGCCACCGGGATGGGATCTGGGACCTCAGTGTCACACGAACTCAGCCGGTGGTCCTGGGCACCGCCTCTGCAGGTACACAAAGTCACTTCACAAACTATTTACATACAGTATACATACTGCATTGTTTTTTGTGGGGTTTTTTTTTTTAGACAGTCAACATGCTGTGTAGTTGTTTTCAATAGGATTGATTAGTCAAGATTAAAGGTGCTGTATGAAGTATTTACATCATTATGTCACTGTCAAATTAACTGTGATGCCTTGATGCAATGAGCGAAAAATGAGTAGAGATGATTGATGGCATCTGTTGCACATCAGTAGTGTTGTTAATGCTAATATCTGTAAGACAACTCTCAAAAAGACAAAACTGTAATGACTTTTCATTTTTGTTGAATGTAATTTAAAAAAAAAAAAAAAAAATTTCCATCATCTTGAATAGGGAGAAACCTTTAAGCTTTAGTTGTGTTTCTGCTGCTCAGTCTGTGTTTCACCATAATGTGGTCCAGACATTTCTCACCGAATCTAACCAGATAGCCCACTATGTAAAAACCCTGACTCAATAGCTGATTATTGTTTTAAAAAAAAAAAAAAAAAAAATTGTGAATGGCTTCATGTTCATCAGTGTGCTCTCCTCACAGACCACTCAGCTCTACTGTGGAGCATAGAGACTGGGAAATGTCTGCTGAGGTATGCTGGTCATGCAGGATCAGGTAATTAGAAAATTAAATGGATACAATAGATGTAGCAGGTACTGTTGTGTCTTATCTCTGTTTATACAACACTGGCTGGTTCACGTCTCAAGCATATGCTGTATTACTGTGCGATATAACGGAGCCTGTCAACATTTGCTCACATGGCTTGTTAGATGACAGGAATACTTGATGTAACATATGTCCATATGTCTCATCATTCGCCCACAGTCAACTCCATCAAGTTCCACCCCACAGAGCAGATGGCCCTCACAGGTTTGTATCTGAATGCATGTGTGTTTATTTTGGTGATTTGGCTACATTTAATGTTTGTGTCAACCATCTTTTTCCTGCCTCCATTGTCTCCAGCAGTCAGTTCCGTGTAGATGTGACTGTATTTGTTCATGTGTACTTGTGTTTGCACAGCCTCTGGGGACCAGACGGCTCACATCTGGCGCTACATGGTGCAGCTTCCTGCCCCCCAGCCACCACCAGATGTCAGTGTAAGTAACCTTGTACTGTTCTCGTCCCAAGGTTTCTACTGGAATAACCTGGAATGTCATGGAATTTTGAAATATGTATGTCAAAGGATGGAGGTGAATATCAAGTACATTTACAAATAGGTTGCTTTACTTTCCATGGTGAACTAATCATACAAAAGCACTAGGTCCAAGCTATCGCTGTTGTGGCAGGCATCTGTGTACATTGCTTGGACTCTTTGTGTGTCTTTCCACAGGCTCCATGTGATGACGACCAGGACTCGTCAGACAGAGAGGAAGGCGAGGTGGATGGCGAGGGCCCGTTTGAGGTCCCTACCGTCCGGGTCGCTACAGCAACCCTGAAGAGCCACCAGGGTGTAGTGATCGCAGCTGATTGGTTGGTTGGAGGCCGTCAAGTGGTGACAGCTTCCTGGGATCGTGCTGCCAACCTGTATGAGGTGGAGACGTCTGAACTGGTTCACACACTCACTGGTAGGCAAACAGGCTGGTACTATATCATAGAACAGCAGCATATGGTGTCTTTGTTTGTTATGTTTGTGTTTCAGTTATTTGAAAATGTACATATTGCTCATGTTTAGATGTTTTGTGATGATTTGTGCATTTGGTTCATGTTGTTCATCTTAATATGATACATTCCAGTCATCTGAGGAAAGGCTACAGCTCATTTCCAAATGAAAACATATAGTAAATCAAGTTTGTTTATTTTATATCTGTTCTTTGCAAGAGAGTCTGCAATTAGGTTCAACCACAGGCCACTTTTTTATCAGTAATGTTCATTACAGGTGCAGTGGATACATAGGCCTGTATGTTTTACATATGTTATCTTTCTTTTAACTAATTTGAATGATTTGTAAACTGTTTTATGCCTCTCCACTGGCAACAGCCAAGGATGGATGCATGTCCGTCCCATTCTCGTAAATATGATATCTCAGTAACACCTTGAGGTAACTTCTTCAAATTTGCCACAAACATTCACTTAGAAAGGTCAATGGCCAAGGCCACTGTGACCTCACAGAACATGTTTTTGGCCTCTTGAATGTGATATCTCAAGACCACCTTTAGGGAATTTCTTCAGATTAGACACAAACATTCACTTGAACTCGAAGATGAACTCATTAGATTTTGGGGCAAAATTCAAAGTAAGGTCAAGGGTCACGGTGACCTCATGTTCTTGTGAGCTCTATATATATATATATATCAGGAATATCCAAAGGGAATTTCTTCTTTTAACATTTGGCACAGACATTCACTTTAACTCAAGGATGAACCGATTAGAATTTGGTGGTCAAAAGTCAAGCTCACTGTGACCTCACAAAACACATTTTTGGCTATAACTCACAAATGTATACACTAATTGTGACACAATTTAACTCAAATGTCTTTAAGGATAAAATCAAGTGATGACATTTTATATCCAAAGGTCAAAGTTCAACTTCACTGTGACATCATAATGTTCTGCAAAAACACTTCTGGTCATTATTCAACGCTGTAACTCAGGAAGGGGAGAGTGTGACCATATTTCCTGCAACTCGGCTGGTTGGTGGAGTCATTCTAGTTCGGATTACATCTGAGGGCTGATATGCATATTAGTGAGCAGTTTATGTAAATATTCACTTATCAAAAAAAGGCTCATAAATGTGAATTGGTTTGTTACACAGAAAAGGGGAGAATAAAAGGAAGATCTTTTTTTTCTGATTCCCAATCAACATATGATGAAACCACTGTTTCCTCTACTTTGTGTGACTCTAAACAATAACTCCACATTTTGTAAAATATGTGTGTTATGAGTGTTAGATGAGAAGATCGATAGGACTCTCATGTCTGAAGGCTAAATATGAAGCTACAGCGAGCAGCTGATCAGCCTAGCTTAGCACAAACACCAGAAGGCGAGGTGGATGGCCAGTTCTTGTACAGGTTAGACAAACAAAATATAACATGTTAATCAGTGAGGTTTAGAGACGCTGGCAGGCAGACAGAGGCAGCTAGCTGTTTTTAACCAAGTTAAGTTAAGCATCTACTGGCACTTGTTTCATATTAAACTTGTTTCCCAAATTTTAAAAGAACTGCTTTAAAAAAGTTTATATGAATCACAAAGAGTTACATATGGTTACCATTGTGTTTGTGTGTGTATGTTTGTAGGCCATGACCAGGAGCTGACCCACTGCTGTACCCACCCTACCCAGCGGCTGGTGGTCACCTCATCCAGAGACACCACCTTCAGACTGTGGGACTTCAGAGATCCGTCCATCCACTCTGTCAATGTATTCCAGGGACACACTGAGTAAGTCTGTCTCTCTTTCTCTCTCTCACACACACACACACACACACACACTCTCTCTCAGCTCAGTTTGAGTGATGGTTTGTTGCTGCAATCTTCATTTTACCCACAGGGTGGTGCTGTAGCATCTCTCTGGTCTGTGATCCCTTTCAGCACTCACTTTTTTTTTTATCCTCAGACAGTGCCACATTAATTTACAGACCCTGCTGCTCTAAGCCAAATCCTCAACTTGCCTCTCATTCATTACTGAGCACTTCTCTTCACTTCGACGGCTTTCTTGTCCTTCTCCCCTCTCTTTCTCTGACTACCTCTGTCTCTCTGGCTCGCTCTCCTGTTCATTTATCTGTCCGTTTTTCTGCGTTAATCCTCCACTCTGTGTAATTTGGCACTTCGCTCGCTGTTAACACTCAATTGCAGCCGCTCATTTCAAAACGATGACTGTCAGGCTTGTCTGTGGCTTTCAATGGCAGCGCTCTTTAAAAAGCGTAAGAAGTGTGTGTGTGCGCGTATGCGTGTGTTTATGTGCACGTCTACATGTGTGTGTCCTGGCTGGCTGGCAGCCTTTGATTGCAAGTGGGGGGATTACATAGAGCTCATTATGTACGACCCCAACATGTATAATTCCTGCAGATCCCACTTTAATTCTCTCCCATAGACAATTGGTGTAATGAGATTAAGCACCAGTGTTTCACAGTCAACGACAGCCCTCCTCCTTTCCTTTCCTTCCATCCATCCTTATGTCCTTCCCAAACGGCCACGATGTGCTTTAAAGTGAAAACGTCCCTCCTTGTCCTTCAGTGGTTTATTTAAAGCCACAAACCCAGACATTCAGGCAAATTCCTTACTCTTGAGCCGTCAAACCTAAAAGCAAATAAAAACAGTTTGAAAAAGACTGGAAAAACTGAGCAGCTGTTCACTGTTTAGCTGCTGTGTATGAGTGATCAAACCTGAACTGGCTTATTGTACATGAGCAGCTTCACATTTAGGGCTGCAACTAATGATTATCACAATTTCTCTCAGTTAGACCAATAAGAGCAAGAAAGGAGTGTTTGACAACAATTTTTGCTTAAATATGACTTAAATTATTAATCAGTTATTGCAGACAATTTCTGTTGATCGACTTAACAATTAACAAATCGTTGCTTTAACAAAGATAGTGATCGTGTCTGTAAATAGCCAGGATTTACTTTGAAGCAGCTCCTAATATGTTGTCCAGTGTCAGTTTGTATTGGCAGCATTGAGCTGGATACTGCTGATACATGTGTATGTTTTTCTGGTGTGTGCATGTGTGTGTGCGTGCGCGCGTGTGTGTGTGTGCTTGCGTCTGTGTATGTGTGTGCGTGCGTGTGTGCATAGGGTCCAATTGTAAAAGGCTGCACTAACAGTCACCCTGATCCATGCAGTTTACTCACCCACATGCTTTTTCCACTTTCCAACTTGTGAGAACTTTTAGTTTTAGCCGAACCTGCGTCATCTCTCTGCCATGTCTCTTGCTAATTTTCCAGAATCTCCAGCATGTTATAATGATGTGGCATAAATGGCGTTCTCTCTGCATCCTCTCTGTGGAAACAGCAGAGGAGAGTGTGAATGGTTTAAAAGGCAGAAGAGAGCTGGAGGGGAGACATCCTCTTGTTTCCACCGTCTTCACTGGCAATTACAGCTAACGCTCCCTGACAGTGAAAGGCGGCAGCTAAAAGTGCAGCACACACCCTGTATCCCACCCCTCCGCCGTAATTGCAGAGTAATGACGACTGCACATGAGCTAACAAAGCGGCTGAGAACAAACGAGAAGTGACAGTGGACTTGCTCTACAAATGGGATGCCATGTCACGTTTGTCTGTCCAGCCATCGACGGCTTTCTGAGATATTTGAATGCAGTTGATAGAAATGTGTGTGTGTGTGTGTGTGTGTGTGCATACATGGGGGTGTCTGTATGCAGATTTGACATCCTGTCTCTGGAGGAATACACCAGCACTTACCAGGTTCTCAGCGACTGTCAGTGTTACTGTAGCACAGCAAAAATAAGAGCGCTCTAAAACCTCTTAGTGGTCCGTACCTGAATTGTTTCATTTACATTTTACATATTGGGCATATGGCTCATGCTCTCATCCACAGTGATTCACAATGACTGCAATGTGAAATTTTTACAAATGTGTACATCAGTCATCAAAAGCACTCATTAGGAGAGAGGATAAGGATCACAGCCACAGTGCCAGAACAAATACTCCAGTTTACCTGGCAGATTTATGTGTGATCGAGCGCTGGTAGGTGAAGATATAATAACAATGCAGAGGATTAGTTTAATCAGGATCTTTAGTGCAGATTCTCTTGTCTGGCCACTGCATTTCATTTACCAATACACAGACAATCAAAACATCAGTGATCATCACTAGGTAAACTAAGAATAACTACTCAGCAACATCAAGCAACATGAAATGCATATACTGTTGTGAATGAATGAGCCGGGCATGTGAGAATTTCAAAAAGTGATGATCTCAATTCAAAGATTGCCCCAAAGAAGCTGTGTGTCAGACTGTTTGTCAGAGCTTTCCTCTCAGTAAAGAAGAAGGAGGCAATTTTAAACTGTAATTGCACAAAATGTTTGTAGTTAGTGAAATAAAATCTCCCTTTCCTTGTAGAGGCTGAATCTGTAACTGTGACAATTCCATCCTAATATAACAGTGTCAGTGTGAGCGGTTAGTTGAATGAGTTTAGGGACGGAGTCCGCCTGTCGTGGCTTGTCTCTCAGGTCTTCTTGAAATCACACCACAATTGTAGAGACAAAAATATTACTGTTAGGGGGCCTTTGGGCTTCATGTGAGACTTTCAGCTCACCTTAACTTCTCCAGCTGCAGAGGGGGTCCCATGATTCCCTCTGTATGACTCTCTTCCTTTCCAGCTCCCCAAGTCTCCAGTCACAAGGAGTCTTGACCTTGGCTGTCGGAGACACTGCAGAGATGCCATTAAGTAACAGTGACTACTCCCCTCCCTCCTCACCACCCATTCTAAAAACCCTTTAACCTTAATCAACCTTTTAATCAATTACCTTGTCTGATTACGCTCCCCGTACACCTCCCACCTAGCACACCTCCTATCTTTCTTACTCCCTGTCGCTCTCTCTACCTCTTGTATTCCCAGGTGGGCTGTACCCTGCAGTGTCAGAAGGTGCCTGTAACGATACAGCAGTTTCCTAGAGCCCGAGCCTCTCTAATAGTTTAGGGCCCTAATTATCCCTTAATGCCATGTCAGTTTGAATTAAGGGGGAAGCCAGTTTTGGCAAGAAAAACTAGATGTGGAAATGTAGACGTGTGTGTGTGTGTGTGTGTGTGTGTGTGTGTGTGTGTGGGGACACCACACAATGCTAATCTTAATCAACAATCAGAAATCCCATCCAGCTTCTTTAGTTTATTTCTAAAGTTCCCTCCATGAATGAGGAAAGATTGAATCTATTGAATCAATGGAGGCCTGATTTTGTGCTATTATGTGGAGCACGACAGGTTGGAAGAAAGGGCGTGTGAGGAGGAAGCTGATACCACGATGTAGCGAATGGCATCGTGTATCTTTTGTCCTATCATATCTAATTGTGATCGGGGTCGTGCTCTTTCACACCTGTAGTGTTGTCAGGGCATACTGACCACTGCAGTGGTGGCAATGGTAACCCCGCAGTTCACTAGAATCAGTAACAGTCAGCAATATAAACAGTGTATGGTGCATCATCTACTGTTTGGATGAACATGTGCGCAACACCTTCTGCAGGTCGTTATAAAACAATATGTAACACATTTTATATATATATATATATATATATACTTCTATATCTTGAATATTGAAAGGTGTCTACATACAGTATGTAATGCTTGTACAGTTATGGATTAAATCTCCTGTCAAAGTACATTTTATTTATAATTGTAAAAAAATAGAAATGTAGTTGAACTGAATTGTGTTAATAGATGAAATAATAAGTGGCAGAATTATATTGTGACGTATCACATAGATACAAATATCCAAATATGTAAATTCAGCTTATGATCTATTTATAGTGATTTCCCAACCAGTGATTCTAACAATTTACAATAACCAGTCAGCTGTCCATCAACCTGATCAGTTACCCTGTGCTGCAGTCGAGTGTCTGAAGATAAGTTAGCCAATTATTAGAGATGTTGAAATAATTAATTAAAAGTAACAGGGAAATGGCTGAAAAAGTTAAAAGCAATGGATAGAATTTTAAACTAGTTAGCTAAAACTAAAAGGATGGAGCTGAAATAACTAAAAGTAATGGATGAACAGGTGATGTAGTCGGCTAATCATAATAGAAAAGTTAAAATAGTACGTGATTGTATGTTTGTTATATGAAAATATAAATTATAACTACTTTTCATATATTTGATAATGTTAAATAACATTAACACTATCTATCTGAACCCCTTAAATATGTTTAATGGATTCAATATATTTGAGTGGCTCAGATGGGTAATTGAGCTCCCATCTGATAAGGCTGAGGAGGCGTGTCAGACAAAAAAGGTTTAGAACCATGGCCCATCATTTGTGATCCCATTCTCATGTCTTGATACAGTGTCTTGGTTTATTTTTTCAGTTTACTTTTGTAATATTTGATGTATTGAACGTGAACATGAACAGAATCACCCACAGAGAAGACTCACTGTAAATGTGTAGAAGCTGTAGAGAGAACGGAAACTGTCTTTCACAGAGTATCGACAGCTCAAACACGGTCGGCGGTGTGAAAACTTTCAAGTCATTATATAACCCATCGAGATATTCCGACAGCTACACATATGTGACAGGAACAGAGCAAGTGTGATCCTGCCTCCGTTTCTTTCCTCTAGTAGGAACGCCTATAACATCCTGACATATCACTGTGACGCGTGTGAGGATCTGTCTCATATTCCAGGTGTATGAGTAATATCAGGGCCGTCTGTGGAGAGGGTGATGAGACTGGCTTTAAATGTTAACTATTCCCTCCCAAACTTTCCTCTTTTTCCTGAACTACAAAATGAGTATAAATTCCAAATATGTAAAATATAAAACATACTGTTGTCTGAGATTGCTGTAAGTTCCCATCAGCTCTCTTCACTGCACTTTAATTGGATGGTGGAGAACCGTGTGAATTTCCTAGATAAGTTATACTTTTGATTACAATGTGAACACACAAGCGAGAGAGTAACATTTTCTTTGTGTAACAGCTGTCTTCTGTTTTTGTGTGTCCGTCATTTGTAGCACGGTGACGTCGGCAGTGTTCACGGTGGGCGACAACGTGGTTTCAGGAAGCGACGACCGCACTGTTAAGGTGTGGGATTTGAAGAACATGAGGTCGCCAATAGCAACTATCCGCACTGACTCAGCTGTGAACAGGTAGGTGAAGGGACACGTATAACTGTAACGTGTTGCTGCAAAAAATAAGTGATGCATGTTGTATGTTTTCTTAAGGCAGAGCTGCTCTGCTGTCAAGCACATTTAAATTAACTTAGTTTAAATAAAACATTTTTTTAATTAATTTAAATAAAAAAAATTAAACTTTAAACTTTTTTCTGAGCTTAAAATGCTCAAAAAAAAATGTGAATATCTACAGCTCCTTGACAGCCGGACAAACTACGATTGCTGATGAAGATCAGCTACTAAATGTACCTTGAGCCTTAAGCCCCAAAGTGCAATAGTTTTGACAACTGTTGTTTCTAAGGTCAAGAATGAGTTTTGAATCGCAACTCAAGACAAAAACACGAAATGTGAACATCTACAGTTTCATGTAGCCAAAGTATTGGTACATACTTGATATCGAAATATCTTATTGAGATCAGGAGCCAAAAAATGTGATCAGGACATCCTCGGTTTTGATGAAGCTCTTAGACTTTCCAACAACACATGTAAATAACTTCAAACAGGGTTCCTGTTTGGGGCTCCATGAGGTCATGATTGCTGAAAGGCTGTTTTAAAGTTGATGTTCTCCATTGTGAAAAGAAAATAATTCCTTTTAAAACAGATGATAGTGACCTCACCAGCTCATTGTACCAAAATAATGATTAACTGATTAATAAAAGGACGTATTATTGTTGTTGGTGCTCTCCTGAATTTAAAGCCACTGTTCACATGCTGGGTTCATGGTCAGCCAGACACCAGTATCAACTGTCCTGTACGGGCTTTGGTTTTAGTTTTGATGGTCTGAAAAGTATGTCCAACACACACAGTACATACTGTAGCCCAAGACAAAGCAACTGCAAAGATACTATTGTCTCCCCAGTTGCTGTGTCCATTTACAGAGGGCAGTAATTATCATGAATGGCAGCAGGGAATACAGATTCCAGAGGCAGCCAATGTCAGCTGTCCATGCATATGGAGTTGTGTGTGTGCAAACGAGAAACTGAAATGTGCCGAGGTGAATCTCTGCTTGAGATATTTCTGTAAATCAAGCGCTGAATTATACAACTTAGCTCCTGACTTTCTTCGGGAGAATGAACCACATCTGACCCTGATTCAAAGTGAACTCGATCTGATGTTTCAGGATAAGCGTCTCTGCCAACCAGAGGATCATCGCTCTGCCCCACGACAATCGACAAGTCCGACTGTTTGACATGAGCGGAGTGAGGCTGGCCCGACTTCCACGCAGCAACAGAATGGTAAGGAAGGAGAAAAAAGGTTGACAGGAAGTAATGTGTTTGATTGGTCTTTAAATCTAACATTTCAAACCTGTGTGTTTGTGTGTGTGCAGGGTCACAGACGTATGGTGTGTTGTACAGCGTGGAATGAAGAGAACCAGTCATGCAACCTGTTCACCTGCGGCTTCGACCGACAGGCCATCGGCTGGAACATCAACATCCCTGCACTGCTGCAGGAGAAGTGATGCCACACACACACACACACACACTCACACTCACACTCACACACACACACACACACACACACACACACACACACACCATTACACACAGTGAAGTAGGTGACTGATCAGAATCTATCCATGTACATACAGTATATACAGTATGGTACAAATATACACTGTAATCTGTGGCCCTCGTACATGCTAGTATGCTTTAAGTGTTTTCCCTGTGAAACATGTGAGTCGTGATATATTTCACAGCTTTCCAGCAACCAAGCAAGAAGGTGTGAAATATGTTGTTCATTATCACCGTTCGTGTTATTTTCCAGGATGCAGCTATTAACATTGATTGATGAGAGCATATTATTCCCCAGACTAAATTATCCCGTCTTTCATTGTGCACATGTGCAGCTGAAACCTGTGACTGACACGGTTCCAACATTTTAAAGTCCAAGTGTGTACGAGGCCACAGAGCTGCTCTTCTGTATTTGAGCCCTTCACTTATTTAGCATGGATTGTGAATTGTGACGTGGCTAAGCTTATCCATTCGTCTCTAGCCCTTGCTGTTTAAAGTATATATTTGACTTCATGGTCACAGGCTGCTGCTCACATCACTGCTGTTTTAGTTACTGCTGAATGGACGCCCTTGCATGTAGATAAACATGGTTTGCGAATGTTACTTGTAAAGTTGTGCGAGAACAATTATAAGGCCAGGACCTGGCTGTAGAATATGATTTAAAGACATTATGTGTATATTAAGTTGTGGCCTGATAAAGTGACCTGTGCTGCAGGTTGTTGCTTATTAATGGATTATTGTCTCAACTGTTATCCACCTTTTGAAGGTGGAGCTCGGAGAGGACAACGTGGGTCTGTGAAATGTTTATATTCTTTTAGTCCAACATGAATTCTTTCTTATCATGGAGTGAAACATATCATATTCAGGCCTGCGAGTTGTCTTAACATGTTTCAAACAGGACCTGCTGTCCTGCCTGAAGGTTTCCACTGATCGAGATTTGAGTCTTTGCCTATTACCTTTGATGCTTTCAATTCACAGCCAGCCTCCATATTTAAGATTTCAAACTTATGATACTGTAACTCTGCCTTGTTCCATGTTTACAGTCTTTTTTTTTTTTTTTTTTTTTTTTTTTTTTTTGGTATTGCTTCATTTTGCCTTTCTGTCAGGATGCAAAGTCTCAAGAGCATAGCAATAATGGGAAAACAACTGCACTTCCGTTGCTCACAAATCCTCTACCGGTCTGTGAATGTTATCCAACATAATCATGCTATAGTATTCACTACATGTCTCTACAGGTGTAGGTGTCCGTAATCTGCCCCCATATTTCCTTGGTGTTAGTGAAATACAGACCCATCCTCTTCAGCCTGTTGCCAATTCAGAGCCCTGTGTTGGTGTAGTGTGTGTGTGTGTGTGCGCGCTTTCCCCAAAGTGAATTTGTTGGTTACTAGTCATTTCTGTGTTTCAGTAACAGCCTGTCAATATCAAGTTAGTGTTTACACTTTGCATTGAACCCATAGCCTTGTACGACCTCTTGCACCTTTCTGTTTTAGATGAAGCTGTTCAGTCTGTGAGAAGCGCTCTTTATCCAAAAAGCAATAATCCAGCTTGCTGATGTTTCTGGTGCTCAGAGTGAAGCCCATTTCTTTTCTTGGAAATCAGTGAATCTGACCTGACGTAACACACTGAATCTCAGTTTGAGAGCTACACGGTAACTTATCTGGAACTGGGCTTGACCGGAAATCCAGGATACTCTTTACTTGTTACACTTGTGCAATATCCCACACATGAAGTCATGCTGTCGTTTTTGACCTTCAGATGTTTAACTTATTTCAGTGCTGTAAATCCCATAAGATGATTTATTGTACTCGTGTGACTGGTGTAGCTGTAGCTCAGTGTACATAGGTATGCATAACTTACCCAAAAGTTGGCTTCAGCCGACACTTCACTGCTGTTTCTACCAACAATAGAGCCGGGATGGATTTTTGAAGTCAAATGTAATGACTTGTAGAAATGCCTTACCATTGCATTGAAAACGTTGCATTAGCCTTATCCATCTGAGCATCAATGCACTTTTCCAAATGCTTGTTAAATAACTAATTGTGTTCCACTGCACAGTGCAGATAGGATTTTTACTCCTGTTTCATTCAGGGAACTCAATTTAGCGCCCACTGGTATCACTGTCATTTTAATCTGCAGGTAGAAAGGCAAGTCCGATTTCCGCCCCACATATGAATTCTAACTTGGAGGAAATATGATTTTGGATTGATACATTAAATTACTGCGTGCCAGATTGGACGGGTAAAAAAAAAAAAAAAAAAAGTGGATAGGCTTCGCTTCATTGTAGCGAATCATATTCACCTCAAACTTCATTATGTGATCTACTTTGCATACCTTATTGTGACGGGTACGTGCTCTCTGACACTTTCCAATAAAAATGTGTGATTTCCTTTTCCAGTCTCTCATGTCTCTTTTTCATCTTATTAACACATACCCCCTCTCACCTTTTTTATCTGGTTCAAAAAGGTATGTATCATTTTGAAAGTCACATTTTAGTCATCTGGATGTAAATCTGGTACCTCAGGATCATGATGTCTGGTGTTAATGAGAGAGGAACCACGAGGTGTGTGAATATCTGTACCTAGTGCAAACAGGAACTTTATTTCAATGAAGGCTGATAAAACACTTAATGCTTTTTGGTTGTGTGAAGTTAATTTGCTAAACAACCTCCAGCAAAATATGGCAGCTACACCTATATGCAGTAGAAATGCTTCCACTTCATGTGCCCCTAACATTTGATGAAACTTTCGTCTTTGGTGGTACATTTTACCTGCTGTTACCTGCTTTTTCAGTTGAGATATATTGTCTAAACTAGGCTTTTAGGAAAAGCACAGGTGTAATTAATAAAAGCAGCTAGCTGAACTTCAGCCACAATTCATTTTATTATTTAACCCTTCAGTTCTGTCTTTGTAGATATGGAGATACTAATTAGCCACTTTATTACACTGTTTAATACCTGCATTGTGGTAAAGGAAGAAGTAGTCAGAGCCAAAGGTCAGAAGGGGTCATGAGATTATTATTGGGCTGAGAAAGAAAAGTTCTTCAACACAAATCAGATCTTTGTCAAATGTTGCTGTTTTTGTGAAATATCTTCTTATTCTTTCTGTTTAGGCCTCAGTTATTTAAAAGGGCTTTAATCTGATATATCTATCATAAGGATGTATCAAATGACTCATTGTTTATGTCCGGACCACAAATACACTGTTCTGGTTCACTCTCACCCACTCTCATAGCGTCACTTTCAGCTGCAGCAGGCAGCTGTTTTCAGAGAAACAGCAGTAAAATCCACAGTTAGAGACCTGGTGGAGATCAAAACAGAGCAAAAAGAGAGGGAATACTGGACGGAGACACAAACACCACTCCACATGAATTATCATGTTACTCTTTAACTGCCTAAACAAGATGACATCGAAAAAGATCAGTTATTGCAGGTTTAAATAAAACTATGAAAGGTTTGGAGGGAACTCATGCAGTGCCATTGACTCATCAATACATGGAACATGACAAGTGGCCTAAAAAGACATGGGGTCACAAGGTAAGAAGGAAACTGGTTTGGATTCAAAGAGGAACTGATTAGATTTTGGTGGTCAAAGGTCAAAGTCACAGTGACCTCACAAAACATGGTTTTGGCCTCTTGAATGTGGGATCTCAAGACCACCTAGAGGAAATTTGTTTAGATTTGGCACAAACATTCAGTTGGACTCAAAGATGAACTGGTTAGATTCTGGAGGACAAAGGTCAAAGTTCTAGGTCATGGTGATCTCATATTCTTGTGAATGCAATATATCAGGAACGCCCAGAGGGAATTTCATTACTTCTGTCACACTGTGACCTCCAAAAACACTTTTTTGGCCATAACTCACAAATTCATACACTTAATTATCATATAATTTAACTGAAATGCCTACAAGGATAAAATTAGGTGATAACATTTGATATCCAAATGGTCAAAGGTCTACTTCGCTGTGACATCATAATGTTCTGCAAAAACACTTTTGTCCATTATTCAATGCTGTAACTCAGGAAGGGGAGAATGTGACCATATTTCCTGCAAACAACCGTGAGACTGTAATTCTAGTTTTTAATGTAACCAGTGACTAAAGCTGGCAAACTTGTGTACTTGTCTTTTGTCTTGTCTTTGCCCAAAAGGGTTCGGCCGCATTTTTAGATACATTTTCATTGACATTAAAAATGATTTCCACAGTTAATAAACCAAATGTAATAATATTCATCACATTGAAGAGAAAAAAAGGTATCATACCTATGTAAGAACAGTATGTTGGTGTTGGTTAGAACAGTGTCACACTCATTGTGTTATGTCTCCTCAGACCTCACGGAGAAGCTGCGTGACTCTGGCAGTGAGAATATTTTACCTCTCTGTCCTCATCCATTAGATTATAGCTGGCTGCTCGTGACCAGTCACTGGAGCAAATTGTCAATTATGATGTTTATTGTAGAGCACACAGCCGACTCCATGGCCTCAGGGGGAAGGGTGGATGCTGCTGAGGAGGCGTAACTCCAACTCCCCTCTCCTCTTCTTCTTCGCCTCATTCTTCCTCCAGGCTAATTTGGTGGCTGGTCTGTATGACACCTGCCACCGAGCCTAACGGAGATAACCGTTTCCCCATGGATTTCCCCTGGGAGAGACAGAGAGAGGGAGGCCTCTTTAATATTTGTCTGGATGCTCCTGAGGGCCAGTGCTGGCTATAGAAAGGTGATTGTGAAGCTGGCAGAGTGGAAATGGCCCCATATCATTGCTCATTATTTGACTGTTGTGCATTTGTTATGAGAACAGATACAATATTACACATTTAATGTTCTGACATCAAAATCAGATGAATCAAAAAACTGTCAAGACGAGATAAAATTACAAGATTTTGTGGTTTTATTCACATATACAGTACAAACATTCACTTTTTATTTGTTACTGAAGTGCAATTTACAGATCTTAGCAGCAATTCTTCATATACTTTAATTTACATCATACACACACTTCTCTTTCACATCTTTGTCAACATCTTTTATACATTTTTTATACATATGTACACTCATAGATACAATATTGCCATTCAGACATGCCTTATATTTATTATCTCTCAAAATAAATCTGTAAATCTGTTGTCATGGCCAACACAGCCATTAGGAGACATGGTGTACTGCATGTTGACGAACAATGTCATGTCTGAAGTTATGGAGTGCAGGCTGATGATGACCATCACGAACACGTAATCTCTCTGTTCTGATGCACACGGACAAGATTTACGCTAAATCTGTTCTTTGCCACTGTGAGAAAGCAGATTCAAGCTTTCCACTGCTACGTTAAGGTGTAAACAAAGAATCAGACAATATGAGTTCCTGAAAACTGACTCCCAGTGTTTTTTTTTAATTTTTTTTTTATTGAAGCTGCCACTAGCCAAGGCCAGATCATCAACTGAACCCTGGACCCTCAAGAGCTCCAAAAGTCCCAGGTTCACTGTGTATCTGCTCATGTTGATGATCTGATAAACTGAAAGGGGATTTGCATCATTAAAGTTCAATATCAACTGTTTTATGTTAAGTCCTGCTCTATGTGCTAATATTGTTGCTTTGTCGTAATATATCTTGTGGTCCTTCGTCAAAATCTAGTCTTAAAGGTCCTATATTGTATAAAGTGTCTTTTTTGATTATAAAGCAGGTCTAGGTGCTATATTAATACTGTCAAAGTATCAGAACGCTCAGTCCACAGAGCACACAGCCTGAGACTTTATGATGTCACAACAAAGCAGTCACCACTCCCAGCCGTGGCCCATGTGCCTCTGGGTGCATAATAAAAGCTGCTGATGTATAGGTGGTGGGGGGGGGGTCAGTGGTTATTACCACACAGCATACTGTACTAGTGCCTTTAAAGTTTTGCCATTTTCATGAAATAAAAAGTAAACATCTTCCAGAGCTGTATTCTTGTCATGATGGAAAAGCTCCTAAAACGCCAGCTAGACCATAATTGGACATAAAAAACATGAGATACTGAAATGTTTTTTTTAGTAGTGTCATCTTTGACCCACCATACCTGCTCAGTGTTGGGGGGGGGGGGGGCTGGGACACTGCTACCTTCAAAAAAAATAATTTATAGACCCCATTTTTTTCTCAGTCAGCTTCTTACCATGAGTAATGAGGTCCTACAAAGATGGAGCATTTTCTGCCAAAGTTGGAATAGCTTTGGTTATTTCACGTAATCATTTCCTCTGTGCTCTCAGCTCTGGTTTATCTGTGGTCCTCCGGTTAGAAAAAAAAGGCGATGACTCTGCAAGATTTGAATCAGACTCAGATGACAGTTTGGTCACTGTCAGTCAAATCTGATCAAACCACAACCACACAGTCCTGATGAAGCAGGTTTGTTTCTGACTATTAAATTCCCAGTTGAATATTTAATGCTATATAAAAATACTTAGCATTTGAAATAAATTTTAAATTTTAAGGGGCTTTAAAAAAACACTGGGTATATCACATTTACAGCCCTGTAAATGCAGCAATACTGATTTGCCAATTTCATTTTTCTAAATTAAAAAAAAAGAAAAGTCAAATGAACCCAGGTGCAGGCCACACGTTGGTCAAATTCTCGGTTCTTGTGTGAATCCTGTAAAATAATCTTCCTCACACGCTGACCTCCACTTAAGCGCTCATTCCTCAGTCAGACTGACTGTGTCCTCACTGGAGCTCATAATGTTCCCAGAGTGCACCACTAGATGTCACTCTCACTACTCAGATCTTACCGCTGACTGAGCCGTGCTGGTGGCAGTTTCTAAATGCCTCAAAGAGAATACAGCAGTGACAGAACAACACAGTCATGATCATAATGAATATAAACATTTAGCTGCATTAAAAAAATACACACACACACACACACACGCACACACAGGGTGAACGTTTACGTCATGAAATATGCAAAGACATAAAAATAGTGTGAGGTACAAATTTACATGGTAGTGATCAGGGATCTTTAGTCACTTTGCATTGTTAATCTTTAACTCCTACATGATGACCTTTGTTGAATATGGCGTCTAAAAATAAAACCCCTCAAGTCGACCACAGCGCTGACAGGGAGGCGAGCTAAACTTTCCACCACCTTGGCTATTATCTGTGCAGGGCGGTCATGACACACAAAGAAAGGCAGCACAAGTCGATGAGGTCAACAAGGCCTCGCTAATGAGTCACGACCGAAACTTGCTCTTATCGGTGACGGCAAGCTTCGATTCAGGTGTACGGAAACTGGCCAGGACGGGCTGAAAAGCTGAGGTCAAAGGAAATAAATTCAGTATGAAAGAGAGGGAACATACTCCCCCTCCTCCATCATCACCTCCACTTGTACTTAGGCAAGCTGTAATGGCTGCGTTTATATACCTCGCCACGATTCTTCTCCCTCTGTCTACCCAGTGGGGTGAGGAGAGGAGGGGGAAAAAAAGAGGGTGTATTAACCTGTCGCGGTGTCGTGGTGAACTCCGCCGCGCTTGAAAGGCAGGGAGGGTGGGGGAGGGGGCAAGCAAAGAGGAGAGAGTGACAAAGAGGAGGCGAGGGAAATAGGTGGAGGAAGGAAGAAAATGGAAAGAGGGCAAAAGAGGGAGAGATGGAGACAAAAGGAGAGGAAAGTCAGGAGTCAAAGGGTGAGTCAGAAGGAGGACAAAGATAGAAATGAGAGAGGGGAAGGTGAGGAACAGGAGGGCTGGTCTGAAGCAATGGTCTGTCCTTCTCTTTTTCTCACTCTCTCTTCCCTTCCTCTTCCTCTATCAGCCGTCACCCTGACAGGGCCGGTAATTGGACGTGGACCTCTCTCTCTCTCTCTCTCTCTTTTTCTCTTTCTCTGTCTCTCTCTCGCTCTCTCCCCCGTGGCTCTGCTCCTCAGCGGGAGCCTTGGGGCCCGGAAATAGCTGATGACAAGATAGCGGCTGCCTTTCATTCTGCTCAAGGTTACCCCACCCTTCCCTGACAGCCGAAGAGGGGGGTATTTAGGTGTGTGTTTGCTTAAACGTGTGTGTTTGTGGGTTCAGAGAAGTCCATCTTTTTTTGTCCCTTTTCTTTTCAGCCCGTCCAGCTGACCTTCCTCTTGATGTTTCTGTAGTGGGTGAGTGACGGTGGTGATAGCCTTAGAGGTTACACTGGGAAAAGTCCAGGTATGAAGGTGTAAAGCAGGATGTTGTTGAAGAGCATGGAGTCATCTTACTCTAAAAAAATAAAGGTTAAACAAACAATCCCTCTCTCTCTCTCTCTCTCTCTCACACACACACACACACACACACACACAAACTCTCGTCCTCAGACCGACAGTAGGAACTGTTCCTGCTCAGGTGGTTTCTTCACCCAGGTGCCGAGGCCCGTTTCCTGCAGAGATCTGAACCACTGCTGCTTCACTGTCTGGTAAGGACGCACCGCCATCTTGGCCTCGCAGTACATGAGCTGGCGGTCCGCCGAGCCGGCCATGTGGATCCCCAGCTGATGAGGGCGAACGAGCAAGAGAGAAACAGGAGAAGAAAAAGAGAGGGAGACTGAGAGTCAGATAAAAGTGTCACAGACACAGACATGAAGATAGGGAGGGAAAACAAAGACAGGAATAAAGCCGGGGCACAGAGGCTAAAGGTTTCATGGCGGGAGGGGGGGGGGGGGGGGGAGCAAAACAAAACGAATGAGCCGGCACAAATGCATTTGGGTGGGGTTGGGAGGTGGTGGTGGTGGTGGTGGTGGGGGCTTCAACAGCTGTGTAATCTTCCCATTTAAATTTCACAAGCAATTGAACATTCTCTGTGCTTTTTGTGCATTCCTATTGTCGCGAGGGGAAACAATGAAGATCGGCGAAGAGACAAGTGGGGAGAGAGAGAGGGAGAGCTAAAGTTTCTTTTGGAGATTAGTGCGACTGCTCTTGCGTGGCCCTTATATACGGCGCGCAGGGAGCACTTAAGGTGGGGGCCTCCTCGAGTACTTCTCCAAATAATTATGGTTTCATAGTCATTATGCTTTAACGGCCGCCATTTGGCGATGCAGGCAGTGTCTGTTACATAAAGTTTCTCAATGGAAATGAAAGTGCAGTGGGTCTGTGTGCTGCCGTTAAAGATCCAAGCTGCCAGTTTTTGATAAGGCGTATAGACAGCAGATGTTGCCGGCCTGACAAGTTTATCAATGGAAATTCCATATATCCTCTGCAGAGCCTCCCCCTTCACACCGCTCTGTGACAGATTTTAATACACGTGTCTGTGCTTTTTGACTGAGTGGATGTTGGCATGGAGCTCTGTAGTTAATGTTTCTGTGTTACTCTTGGTGTGTGTGTGATTCCTGATGGCAGTGGTTTGCATATTGTTTTTGACAACAACTGAGTAATGCTTCTTGCTTTCCAGCAGGGGAGTGAGTTGCAAGTAGAACAGAGTGGTGAAATATTTATTCATATAGAAATGTGGTTATTTTTTAGGCTCATACTAATTCAACAGTGCATCATTACATTTTTCCATCAAATAAAAAACAGTGAACTACTTTTTAATTAACAGTTGAGTTATGTACTTACATTATCCCAAATGTATCTAGAAATCCATCATTTCAATAAGGGTTAATGGTCTGTTTCATTTGGTCAGCTGTCAATGACGTCATATCCTCCATGTACATGCTTCAGTGTTGTGGTTGCCTACCAGGAGTGAGTGTCAAAACTGACTTTTTATCCAGTTTTAAGCCACATTTTTATGAAATACAGTTTTTTCTCTTTTTTTTTTGGTCGTTTTTAACCATGTATTTCAACCAGATGAAGGATTTTAGTTGTTGGTTGTCGAGATCTTAAGCTTTCAGAGAAACAAGTTGAACAAATGTTAGCAGAAGTGCTGTGCCTGTCGAACAGCACTGGAGAAACGCGTATTTTTAACATGAAACTGCTTTATTAAATGTTTACTGTATTTAATCCCCTGGTCCGTTTGTTTTGAAGAGGAGGAGACCTCTGCGGACAATTCTGCTCCCAGAAAAACCTCCTGAATGACTGGATCATAAGTTATCAGAGAAACAAGCTGCCCAAACTTTACTGGCAGCTCAGCTCATAGCCCCTGCATTTAGTTTTGCCTTTTTGATACATGCTGGTATAAGTGGAACAGAGCTGCCGCACGTTACCCATGTACATTTTTTTTTACACAAAAGGCAAAATGCCTGCTGTGAGAATGAGGGGAGCCACTGGTTCTATACATTTCCATTTCTTGTAATGGTATCCTCAATTCTCCTTAACAGAAAAACATAGGAGCCACCTGGATAATTTAACACTGTGTTATGACCATTAGTTTATGTTGGTGTTTTAATTAACTCACCTTTGTTTCAGGGACACCCCCGTAACTTGGGGTTATTACTAATGCAAGTCTATCGTTATGAACTAAAATTGTCAAGAAAAAAAAAACAAAAAAAAAACACTTGGTATGGACGAGGGCTCTGTATATTACATTACCCATGAGCCTTAACTAACATGGAGAAGCCGGTTAGAGGCAAACATCAGAGCTGTAGCAAATGCACAATCCTTCAATGTCGCAGTTAGGAACAAAACACAATCATAGTTGCTGAATTGATCTAAAATTGACCCTGGATCTGAAACTTGTCTTATTCAAATTGGTAAATGTTTTTATCAGGTTTCTCCAAAGCAAAATATTGCTTTTGTTCATGCATGCAACAGAATTTGAAGCTCATGATTGGACATTTCTCAGCAAAATGTTCCTTTTTGAGTTTTAGTTAGTTGACCTCCCCCTGTAGGATATTTCTTAACCAAATAACCAGAAACACTTTCTTTGGAAATGGCTCATTTTTGTACCGATGATTCAGCTGAGAGTGTTTCATGCTCATCCACATCTTGGAAATGCTCCAACTGCCAATCACCACACTGTCTTTGTATTTTACGACTGCTTCAAATAAAATTCTGACACTAACCAGACATATTGCTCTCAAGTATCCTGTCTCCCCACTGGTAAATTTAATTTAGTCCCTTCCGCTCTGGCTTTATCCTCCCTGTGGATGTCTGCACTCACCTTGCGGTACAGTCTGCTCCAGCGGGTGAACAGGGCGTGCTTGCAGAGACGCGAGGGTGTCCCTGAGTCCCGTCTCCGTCCCGTGGCAGTGTTGACCACCTCCAACTGTGCGTCGCCCAGCGTCCAGTTGACGCTCACACACGAGGCCTTCCCTGGCTGTTGATACTCAGCACTGCTCAGGCCTGCAGGGAAGACAACACGGCAGAGAGAATTACTTTACGTAGGTTGTTTACATTCAAGATATTCCTCCACAGGTGATCCAAATTCAAAACATTTGATCAAAGTGTTTCAAAATGTAACGAACTCCTGAGTATCCGAGAGAAATTTTGAGTTTTTCCTGTCAAACCTCCACTTTGCTGTTTCGTTTAACCTTCCTTCACCCTTCCCTCACTCTCTCCCTCAGGCTAATGGCTGACATAAAGTTTTGCAGCACTGCAAAAAGCCAAGTCAACCTGGGCCTGAAACTGCATGGCTGTTTGTATGAAGCTTTGATACACCCTCAGAGAGGGAGAGAGGGAGGGAGGCAGCAACGGGAGGGCGATCTACTCAATGTGTGAGTACTTGTCTGTGTTTGAGTGTTTCCACCTATGTAAACTGTAAATATAATCTCCAGTCACAAAGATCAACCCTCCTCTACACTGGGCTGTCTGTCTCTCTGTCCCGTCCTCTTCGCCTTTCTCTCTGAAATAATTAGCCTCACTGGCAAAGCACACAAAGTGAGGCGAGTGGCTGTCGCATGATGCTACATGTGATGGCAGAGGTGTGGAGGAAACGCAGCTGACAGCGGGGCGGGAAATGAATGAGGGCTCGGGGGAAAATCCTGGAGAGGCCATTGCAGGTGTTTCCATAGGAGCCGGTTTCCCAGTGTATTCTGGGTAAGTGAAATGGGGAAGTTTTCATTCAGTGTTTGAGGTTTTGAAAACACTCGATTGTACAGCCTGAAGCAGGAGAAAATGTTGAACCACATACTGGTCGGGGATGAAGTGTGGAAACAGGCCCATCAGAGGTTTCCCTCAATGGTAAAGAGAGAGGAGATGTAAAACTACATTGAGATAGTTTTTGGTTCTCAAAACCACAAATATATCTTCTTATGGATCAACACTTCAAATGAAACACAGGAAAAGTGTAAAATATGGGACTTTTAAGTGTCATAACCATATGATAATATGACCACAAATAATAATATAATAAAAGAAAAGAAAAACATTAACACAGAAAAAAACAAATTGTCTGTTTGCCAGGGTTGGTAATGGCTGACCTCTGACCTCATGAATTACAGTACAATATGTTGCATTGTGTTTTGTCACAATTTCTTATTGCTGAAAATGCTACAGTGGAAGAAATGTTGGAAGCAATATGTGCCACACTGCCACAGACACACTTCTCATGTAGCATCTATGCTAACAAAATGTGACAGCTTGAACATTAAATCCACTCTACGTCTGTAAAACTGTCTTGGATCTCACCTTGACTTCCAACCCAGTTATTTATTATATCAGGTAGATTCATAGAAGATCAGCAGACAGATTCTCTGCGACGGGTGCACAACAGTTACCTCTGATCTCACCGCCTGACAGACAGCTTGTTATAGTACAATACCTGACGTACAATACCACAATACATGCCTTCAGATCACCCCCCCCCCTTGCCACGCTCATATTCCCATCCTCACTCTTCCATTCACCAATCTCAGCTCTTCTTTTCTGTAGCTCCTTAGAGCTGGAATGAATTGCCTGCCACAGTAACAATCCTCCAAGTCTCTTATTACCCATCTCTTCTCTCGTGTGCAGACGCACCTCTTTGAACAAAAGACCCTCCTATCCATCCTGCCTTTTTCCTTTCTCCCGCTCCATTCATGGCTCATTTCATCCCTTCAATGGACTTGACTCCTCTGTTTCTGTAATAGCCAATTTGATTTTTCCCTCATTGAAGACTTGATCAATTTCTCTTCTGGGAAGTGTTTGGCAGACATGAAAGAGGCAGAATTAGAGCCTTTGGTTATGGGATTCATAGCTGTACACAGGCTGCTGTGGAGCCACAATACAGCACAGCCTGTGTGTTTACATATACACATTGCATCTATCCTGCATTACCGTAGTACTGCGGGGTTTTCAAGTAGTTCTCGTGAGGATGGAGCAGCAGAGGGAAGAGTGGTGTAGCAACAGGTGTGTTTAAAACATATCTCCAATGTCCCTAACCCATTTATGAGAAAAGCAGGGGTGTGACCGAAAGGTTGCTGGCTCTGTTCACCTCCAGCAGCACTCTACCCCCAACTGCTTCATGCAACAATGATACATACAATAAACACATACAGTAGAGCTGCTTTCTTCGCTAACAGGTAAGCAGCTCTCCTACACTAAGGTGACCAGATTTCTGAATTAAAAACTGGGGACATTTCCAGTTCAGCTGTCTATATCATTAATATATACAATGTTTTTATCTATGAAACAAAAATAATGGACAGTTCTGTTTTCATGTATTTTGTACCATGGTAACTGTTGTACTATATTAAACTATGGTGAAGGCTGAAAAATAAAAGTAGGTCACTCTTCGTACTCTCAACAGTTAAAGGTCCCATATTGTATAAAGTGATATTTCCATGTCTTTTCTGATTATAAAGCAGGTCTAGGTTCTATATTAATACTGTGAAAGTATCAAAGCTCTCAGTCCACAGAGAAATGCACACAGCCTGTATTCAGAAAACTGACTTAAAATGAGCCGTCAGGACTTCTGTTACTTTGTGATGTCACAACAAAGCAGTGGCCGCTCTCAGCCACGCCTCAAGCCCCGCCCACCTGGACCCAGATTCCAACATTGTAGGATTTGGTTTCTCTGGGTGTTTACCTGAAATCTGCTTTATTTTTATTCGATCACTTATTTAAAAACACAAATATATCTTCTTATGGATCAAAACTTTAAATAAAACACTGGAAAAGTGTAAAATATGTGACCTTTAAAGATTGAATTATCTTCTTTTTTGTTCCTCCTTTCCCTCTCTTTACCTTTCCAATGAATTATTGACTCTTTTTACTCCCTTAAGTTTTCCTTCTCACTATTCTCCTCCTGTTCAGTCTTCAATAATAAATAGTAAACCATTATATAAAATAGTTTGGTTAACAGATTCCCATTAATTGCCTAATTTTTCGATTTTATTCTTTAGAATAACAAATTGGCAGCTCTGTAATCACTATCTCTTTCACTCTCTTCCAATCCAGTCTTCCTCGTCTCCATCCTCTTCACTCGCTTCACTTGATATTTGTTCGTTTCTGGTCGAGTTTTCTCTAAAACTAGGTGCACAAGTGATTAGTGGTAGAAGAAGAGTGACACAAAGCTGCTATAGGTAGCCAGCATCCTCTGTTGGCCAAAACAGACACGACACTAGACACCTGCCCACCTGCTCTGTTGCCCGGTCTTTCTCTATGTTTTTTTTATTCACAATTAAAAACGGGGACATTTCCAGGAACAGGCCACCAAAAACAGGGATTATACTTGGAAAACAATGACGTCTGGTCAACCTATTCTACACAGTTGTGCAAAGTCAATGGATACTTCAACAATCAACCCCCAAAATACTTGCTCTCTCCACACACAGTACATGCTTTGGTTGAATGCTCTTTTCTGTGAGACTTAGTAACACGTTACAGTGATGCGATTACCTTTTCAGTAACGAGTAGTGTAAGGGATTAAAATTGGAATTTCAATCATTACACTACAGTTGCTAATCCAATGGCAGCAGAGAGCAGCTGTAAAACAAGCATTTGTACTCAGTCAACCGCAAAACTCCAACGGTGGCGAGCGACCATTATTAATGTTTCCTTTATCTGCTGTTGCTCTGATTCCTCTTATCCCAAAACAACAAAGCCTCGCCACACTTTCTGTTCACGCTGTGGTGAAAGTGAACAGCAGGACAAGCGCGAAGGACAAGTCAGCCCATCGATGTGTTTGGCCCTCGGGGTTCAGGTGGAGCTGCTTTGGCTGGGTGCGATAAGAGAGGGCCCTGCGATCCCCAGGAATTTCCTCCAGGGGTGTTGCTTTTAAATAACCCTGGACACACAATAGCCGGGGAGCTCATCAGAGCCAATGAAAGGACGGAGGAGGAGATGAGAGGAAGGTGGGGGTAGATTTGCACACAGACATCTGAATGCAAGCTCTCGCTCTCTCTTTCCTTATCCCCTTCCTGCCTTGCTGTCTCCCTCTCTTCCCCTCAGCCTCTCTCTCTCTGTCTGAGCTCCCTTCAGATTGAATGGCTAAGGGCTGTGATTACATTGATTTGGTGTAGGGCCATCTCCACTGTCTGTCCATCTTCCTCGCTCTCCTCCCCTTCCTTCACCCTTCCACCCATCAATAGGCTGTTGTTACTCAAGGTACTGCAGGTGCAAAGATCTCACAGTTTGGGACACACACATAGAAAAAAATACAATCCCTATAGAGAAGGAGAGGGCAGAGTATCTGCAAGAGGGATAGGAGGCTACTTCCATTTTGAGCAAAGAGGACGTGTGAAGGTAAAGGGCATGTCTACACCATTAGCAGTGATGCTGCAGGACATTCTGCAGCATCATTCTTCCGTTCATTAAACAAACGGTGTACTTACTGCGAGCTTTATTATAGTTAGAGTGAATAACTTAATATTATAAGTAAGTATGAATGATGAACAAATGGATGATACCTGACCACAATTCTCCAAATATTAACTGCAGCTTGTAATATCTAAAACCAAAACTTCCATTCCTGACAAGTTAAATGACTCCATTCAAAGAGCCATTGAACAAATCATGAGAAATGCTCGCCGAGGCTGCGGTCGGGAGCCTCAATGATGAATTCAACCCAGCTATCATCACCAGAGGACAATTCAGCACAATTATCAATCTTGATGAGGATAGGCCTCACAAAATATTCATCCTCATGGCAACCAATTACCCGGAGCAGAGCCCTGCAACGCAAAGAGTTCCTGTGCCCTTCAAGAAGTATACTTGAAACCTGACAAAAATATGGTATTAGATGTAGATAGTGTGCATTTGACATGATATAATGTGTTTTTTCTTGTACGTGACTGTCACAGTCTTTGTTCTTGTCAATGATCCCCCAGCAACAAAATGTGCCCTACATCGCTGTGCATCTCTGTCACTCTGCCTCTCTGACTGGCCTAGATCTGAAGTGATGGCTGATGCAGTTTCTACAAGTTGGGTGTCATTCAGATCCTTTTCCAGCATTCATCTTCACTACAAACGAAAGCCTGAGGTCTCAGTGGAGCCCTGCGAGCAGACGTGCCAGACAACTTCTTAGCTTGTTGCTTGTCTGGCTGGCACAACGCAACTGTGGAGTAGCAGGGGTACACGGGTTTGTTAAACGTGTGCCAGTGTATGTGTGTTACATGTGATGGCTCGTGATTCATTTGGTTTGCATTTGGCTGACATTTTTATTAAAAGAATTCTCTGAAAGTAGATAGTGTACATATGTGGCTTAGGGCTCTACATGGGATTTGGAAACACAGCACAGACTGTCGCTGTTTAAAGGCAGAAATACATGAGTAGGAAAAAACTTTTCTTGACCACTTGAAAGCTATAATATATTCCATACATGGCAATCAACCGACCTGTGAATTCCAAGTTTAGTGAGTTTAAATAGTGTTTTTAATTAACCCAATAGGTTACAGGCTAATCCTTGTGTATTTCTACCACCTTAAACAGTTAAATAACATAAGCCATTGTTTTTTTGTTACTCAGCAAATACAAATTTTAAACGCACAGTATGTAACTTCTACCACCAGGGGTCTCTCAATCAAAACAATAACAAAGGACGGCATTTGGTGACATCATGATGTAACATGGGATCACGGGACTTGTTCTTCACCACCATAGCCATCAGCTTCTCCTGTTTTGGATTCCATTAGTTTCAGACATTCAGAAGGTTTTTACCGAGAGCCAAATTATCCACAGAGGTCTCATCCTCTCCAAATCAAACAGACCAGGTGATTATAACCAGGAAAAACAATGAATAAAGCAGTTCCACATTAAAAGTCAGTGTTTTACCGATGCTGTATGTAAGGAAAGGGTTGGGAGCTAAGACTGCTGCAAACCTTTGTTTCGATTGTTATAATTTAATAATAAAGACGTTCAGGAGGATTTTACCAGCAGCTGAATTATCCACAAAGGTGTCCTCCCCTCCATAACAAACAGACCAGAGGATTAAAACCGGTAGAAAACACTGATGAAGCAGTTTCCCCTTTAAAAATCAGTGAAAATCAGATTCACCGACACTGTTCGGTGGACACAGGACAGGACGTCTCCAGTGGCTAGCTGGGATGTTGGAGCTGAGCTGTCTAAAATTTGCTTGGCTTTTTTCTGTGATAACGTAAGATCCAGATGTTTGATGACCAAAATCTGATTAAAAAATATAGTTGAAAACGACCAAGGTGTAAAAAGTGTATCTTAAAATGTCGCTTAAACCTGAATAAAAAGTACGTTTCGATGCTTCTGGCAGACAACCACAACACTGACACGTGCAAAGGGGATTTGACGCCACTGACAGGCGACCAAATGACGAAGTTACCTTGATTAAAATATGTATTTCCCTAGGTTTGAAAAGTGCACATTACATTTGGTATAATGTAAGTACACAACAACTCACAAAAATAAAAAATAAATAAGTTACTTATTATAACTTTAAGATGAAGAGATTTGAAACTGACACTTGATGCAGAAAGTTGCCCATGTGTTCATTTCACTATGATGCTCTGCAGTAAAGTACAGAACTAAATTTAAATGTTATAATCAATATTCTTATAATAACGATAGCTCAAATGACTATGTATAATGTGAATGGGGTTGCTTGCTCCCAACTGCAGTTCCTCCCAGCTCTAATGAGTTTTAATTCTTTGTTTCGATTTTCCAAGCTGACAATTTTCACTATTGTTATTCACGTCACCTGTCTGATTGTGTTGTTTTAGCTATAGGCACTTGTCTGTTATTGCAGGAGTCTATAATTAACATACTGGAGGACTCGTTAAGTCACAGTTTCAAAAAATAAAGACTAAATGCAGTAAAGCTGATGTAACGAGGTCAACTTGCAGGGATTTTCAGCTGTAAGCCACTTTAACCTTGTATGAAATGGGAAAATAGTTGTTTGTGGTGCGACACAGCATAATCAGATCAGATTGTATACAATATAATTTCATATCTCATTCAATACTGATTTTAATATTAAAGTTCAAAGTTTAGTGATATGAAATCACTGGTGCGGTGTTGTACAAATACTCAAAAAAAAGTGGAGAAATGGAGAAAGAGAAAAAATTTCATTATCTGTTACACAACAACCGGTCGAGGCAGACGGCTGCCCATCCTGAGTCTGGTTCTGTACGAGGTCTCTTCCTGTTAAAAGGCAGTTTTTCCTCTCTACGGTTGCTGCTCTTTGTGGGAATTGTTGAGTTTCTCTCCATTATATTGTCAGGTCTGGACCTGACTCTGTAAAGTGCCTTGAGATAATGTATGTTGTGATTTAGTGCTATACAAATACATTGAAAACATCCTTTAGCTAAACTGCAAGGACTGACTGTCATTGTACTTCCCTACGTCGATATCTTCCTAAATGTAATTCACCCAGTGTTTGACTGTCTGTGTTGTAGCCGTACCACTGAGCAGAGGCTGGTTGCGTCTGTATGTGGCGGGCAGTGGACCGAGGCGCTCCTGCCGCTGGTTCAGAACTCGGCCCAGATGACCCGTGTGGCGCAGGCTGCCGACGGTCATGCTGTGCAGGTACACCGGCTCCACAAAGTGGCTCAGCAAGGCCCCCTGCAGGCCCAGGATGTTCCATCTTGAGGGGAGGGAGGTACGAGGGAGAGGATGAGGAGGTGTGAATGAAAGAAAGTCAGATAGAAGCAGGGAGGGCAACAGTTTGGGGGGAGGGAGAATAGGCGGGAAGAGAGGCAGAATCGGAGGTTGGAAAGGAGGAAAAAGGGGAGAGATGGGTAGAGAGAGGAAGGGAGAAAAAGAGCGACAGACAGATGTGAGAGCTTCAATAACAGGTAGAAACAATTTGATCATTATCTTGATGTGGGACGTGATGGACACACACACGCACACACACACACACACACACACACACACACACACACACACACACACACACACACACACACACACACACACACACACACACGTCCTCTTCTCCCACTCCCCCTGGTTCAGAGACACAAACCATCATCACCACCACCAACAACAACACTGCCAAAGGTCAGTACATCAGCATTCATTACATGGAACAACACATTACCATGCGTGCATTCATCAGAGCCGTTGAGGTTAATGCACTGCACAGGCCTGCAGGAAAGCTTCAGTCGTTTGCTCGGCACGAGGGGCGACCGCCTCGGGGTTTGTTTAGGGAGATCCACCAGTGACACAAAATCACTGTGGGGCTAATCCTGCCAGCCACACCACCGCCTGATACTGTAGCCAGCTGGTCATGTGCCACCTACTGCTGAAATCCCCTCTACTTAACCAGCAGATGCTAATTTATGGATGGAAAATGATAATTACCATGTTTATTATCATTGCAGCTCTTCACAGGGAGAAAGCCTGCTGTGTACCTGAGCCGTGTGCTCTCCGCTATGTTGGACTAATGAACTTATGCGAGGCACAATCAGGGGACTGACATTATGCTACTCATTTTTACATCACTGTTCTTTTTGTTAATCAATGTCAATGTAATGTAATCAATTGCCAACTTAATAATCACTCATTATGGCTTCTTTCTCAGTGAATAAATATCAAATATCAGCTTACTGGGAATCACTGAGCGGCCTCACGAAGCGGCGTCCGCCCACATACGCTTTACCTGCAATCTGTCACCAAGATCTGTCCTTCCCTCTCAAACAAAGAGGAGGAGCTTTGTTCAAAAAGCACAACCTCAGTGCTCCGCCAAAACAGAAATAGTTTAGCCTGAAATATTAATTTACCCAGAAGGCGACACCGTGAATCAGAAACATCTTCTAATCTCATGCAAGAAAAGAGCCATCTGGCTTAGGTGTGTGAATTTAAAGAGAGGAAGGGGAGAGACCTCCCTCTCTCTCTACATCTATCCTTTCTTCCCTCCCCCGGTAAACGCCGACCATTAAAGTAATGTGTTCATCTGCATAAAACTGCAGTGGAATGGAGAACATCATCGTTATATATGAAAGCCATTTAGGCCCCTCAATTAAATCCAGCTGTCGACTTCAAATCTAATATTAGCAAAGGAGCTTCACAGGGCTCGGCTTAAGAAAACAAAATGATGATGGTCAGGTGAAGCAATGATGGGGTGAAGCATCAGCCATTATCAGAAATGTTTATGATGGGAGCAAAGATCCTAAAATCCCCAGTGGTCAAAGCTGAACTAACCATAATAAAGTGCAGGAACTGAAGGAAGTGGGGGGAATAAAAAAGTAATGGGAGGTTGCAAAATGAGTGTGACAGAGGACAAAAAGAGTATCCAGGGGATCACTTTAAGATTGCAGCAGTGTGTGGGTGTGTGTGTCCATGGTCCTAAGCTCCTCTCAGTTCCACCCTCCAACCTGACCTTGATAAACTGGCCCTTGGTGACCCACTCACTTTAACGACGGCCACCGATCATTTACAGCGATATAAAAAAAAAAAATAAAAAAAAAAAAAACGGAGAGAGGAGGCTGTGGAGCAAAGAGAGCGCGTCTGCCGTCTGGTCTGGCGGGATGGAAGGGAGAGGATGGTGGGAGGGAAGAAAAGCAGGGTGTCCCTTCTCCTTCCCCCGTCACTCTATTTTTTTGTAAAGTAATTGCTTTCACCCCCGTTGGTGACCTGGGTAGATTTAATCACACCATCTCCAGCCCTGGCCAACTGAATCAAATTGGTCAAATTAACAGCGGCTCCACAGGAGAAGGGTTCACCTCTCTCTCGCTCTCTCTGTCTCTCACTTCCTCTGTGTGTGTGTGTGTGTGTGTGTGTGTGTGTGTTTGTGTGTGTGCGTGCGCCAATCCTTTCACACACACATACACACACACACACAACAGTGGCTCAGCTGTGGTCCTGTATGGCTCAGTTGGCACAGTGCGGGGCTTACTAAGCTGAATTCATGGGTTCAGTTCCTGTTGGGCCCAGTCGCGGCTGAAGAACTGAGACTATATTAAACACTGGGTTCAGATATGTCAGTAAATACAAGGGTGGGAGTGAAGAGTTACTGTTGTTGTCTACCTTCATTGTGTACTTAATTTTTAGCATTGCTAGCATCTCTAGAGATGGCAATTTCAACTTGTCCAATACTGTGGTATATCTGCTAACATTGTTACTTCACAGTTTACTTTTAAGTATAAGCTGTGAATGTCATCACGTTAGCAAACTAACAGTGTTGCCATCACTTTTTTTGTTTTAAAGCAAAACGAAAGAGAAAAAAACACATTCTACCTCTTACAAAATTAAAAGATTAATTCCTAAGACACAAAACACACCACTGCTCAGTTCAGTATACTCAGTGGTTTTGTTGCTGTGGTATTTCTTGGTCTGGTATGACCAGTAGCCTTTGGGGCTAAAGTTAGCAAACTTCACTGTGTAACCAAGCGGCTGAAAGTTCCTGCATTTCCTCAAATGACCACTTACGACTCACTGAAGTTTCGGCTCTCCACGCGCTCCATGTCTTTGCCCATTTTTGGATTAGCCGAGAGTTAGGCGGAGTCAGGCACTGCCAAGACGAAGATGGCAGAGCAGCTCACTCTAAGCTTCAGAACTGCTCTTTTAGAAACCTCTGGGTGACATCACGGAGGCTACCTCCATCTTTATTTACAGTCTATGTGTTTAACTGATGTTACTGAGTCATTCACTAACTTTATGACTTTTATACCATTTTTATTATGCCGCTATTAGGCCAGGAACATCTTGGTTTTCATTTCGGTGCACATGTTAACAGGTTAGAGCGTACACACCGCCTGCAAGACACGCGCGACATTACATTACACCAGCGACAAACATAAAACTGACACCTTCCACTATAGTTGTCTATGTCTAGGCTGAATCTGAATATGATACAGACATGAAAAAAAAAAATGATTTAACCATTTTAGCAGCTGCATGTGGAGACCGTGTCATTTTACTGACGTTTTCTCTCAAAAATAAATCAGACATTAATTTATAATGACAAGAAATCCAACATTCGATTAGCCTGCAAACTCTATGTAGAGAGACAGAGCTGGCAGTAGCAGCGACACAGCTGGTGTGAACACACACGCCTGCTTCTCTGCAGCCATTCAGCAACATCAACTGCCACGCTCACGCAACGCAGGCAGTGTGTTCCTGGCGTTACACTTGTGTTCTAGCATTTTCTATTATCCTGTAACACAGTTTGTCAAAAACTACATATAGTCTAGCCTTGATTTTGACTGATGTGTCACACCTGGATGTACTGTATTAATGACTCTTGCCCTTGCCGCCATGGTCCCTGAAGAAGCAGATGTTCTGCAACTGGACAAAGAATTTACAGTGTCTTCTGGCACAGAGTGTGAACAGCCAGCCACAGTTACAAAATAATCAGTTATCACCTCTAATAGTGTGCCCAACCATTTCACATTTACAAAGTTTAGTTACACAAATGATTAAATATTCAGTAAGTATATATAATATATATAATTATGCGCGTGTGTGTGGACGTCTCCCTCTGCCAAAAGATGCTCTAATGTTTACGCTCTGATGCCTTCATTCTTCACACATGGAGACGATGTGAAAACAGACGTGGAAGAGGAAGGACCATTAGTTTCTATGTCTCATCAAATATTACTGACTCATATAATCCTACAATCTGATAATGAGATAATTTTACTATTTTTTAATGGATATCATTTTTTAAATCAAGTTTTTGGGCCCAGTATAGAAAACTTGTCCTTTCATTTTTACTTGAACAGCCTAAATAAATAAATTAACCAGTGACTAAATGATTTTATGTCTTTTAGCTAGAAGACAGTCAGCCCAGCAGATCTGGAGATTAAAACAATCATGTGATTGATACGCTTATTCATTAGAAGGGGATTAGTCGTTCAAGTCACATATGGGAAATCAATAGTCATCACCAGGACAACAAAAGATTTCACATATAACATGACTCATGGGAACGCACACCTGCACCTACGCACACACACAGATGTTAAGGTAAATATCAGACAAACCTCTACCTGCCTCATGAAGCACATTTTAAAAAGCATTGTTTAAACAGAGATCACTCCTTCTCATAAGGGAGCTAATCTCCAAATAACGTTAATTCTTCATCAATCCTTTCACCTTTCTTTTCTCATGTAGGGTCAGACCCCTCCTGGGTGAAAGGATGTGCTCATCATGGTCTGTTCAGAGTTTATGTTTGGGTATCACCAACTTTACAATAACATCAACACAATCCATGCAATAATAACTGCAATGAGAAAATTATATTTAAAGTTTTGGCACTGGTGTTATTGAGCTCCTTTGACAGGCACGATTAAAATAAAGGAGCATTAACAACAACAAAAAAAGTCGTACAGACAAAAAGAGTCCAATAGTACAACAGTCCAATATCAAAACTACCTAATCTCAACACAACACAGTGAGGACAGCACTGTACCTGACACAAACACTGATTACATTGCCAGTTTAAACCCCCGCAGGGGAGAAGAGGCTCTTTCAGGTATAAATCAGTTTAGAGGATGCTCAGTGTGGCAACAGCAGCAGCAGCACAGAAGGGGGCTTTTGTCCAATTTAGTTTTGACCCACTTGACAGACAGCAAAAGTGAAATGAGGCAGAATACAAATGTTGACTTTTTATTTTCAACAGTGCCAACAAGAAAAAAATGCACTCCTAAACCCGAGAAAGACAGGAAGCTTTTAACCCAGACTCATCATCTGAGAGCACTGACCTGGTGATCTTGTCTGTGCAGGACATGGTGATGAGCTGCTCGCCCTGTAAGACGCCGTCCCACGTCTGGACGGGCCCCCGACATCGCACCAGCACCGTTCCCTCGCCTGACTCGATTTTGGTCCGGAGGTGGTTGCGGTGCTTCCTCATGAGGTGTCTGCTGCTGTGGACTGTCAACACAACAACACAGTCACAAAACATCATTTCATGGCATCTTTTATTCCACACCACTGCTCGATATCCAGTTTAATTAGCCAATAATGAAATGTGTAATTTCTAAATATCACAAAGCTGTTTCAGATCTAATCCTGTCAATCAGCAGTCGAGAAAACAGATTTATTTTGTACATTAATGATCAAATGAAGTTAAAATGCATCAGCTAAACTAAAGTGAAGGCAATAAATATTATTCCAGTATTGTACAATATTATACAGAGAATTAAATGTATTATTTTGGGACTGCCTAATTGTTATTGAAGCAAGCATTCCACTGCATTATTGCTGGGTGTACGGCTCAGTCCATTCCCATGGATTGCTGCACTTTGGACAGTCTGTATTAGGCGAGGTGTTATGCAGTATCATATAACAAACTGACACAAGGACCCATGTGTTGTTAACACCGTTAGCAGGAGCACAAGCCCTTGATCCATTTAAAACTCATGAACTCTCCTCTCTTCTCACTTCCTTTCCAGCTTTTCCTCCATGGCTGTTGCTTCAGCTGATGACAGCAGCTAAAAATTAAGCCCCCGACTTCCAGCTCAGAAATATTTCAGGAAAAGGTACTAAGTAATTTTCTAATCTCCGAGAGCGCACTGCAGAACATTTAAAAGGTTTAATGACCAAAAACGTCAAGTTCAAAGGCTTCTCTGATCTGACAGCATCGTCTTTTCTCCCTCTCTCTCTCTCTCCATCCCTACTGGTTTCATGAAATCTCACCATGTACTGCACTGTGTACACACTCACAGAGCTGAATAGTAGCTTCAATCTGTGATGAAAGATGGGGAAATCTATACATTCTACTCATGGAAACTCAGAGGCCACCAGAAGAAAAATGCTGGGCAAAACGTCTAAATATACAATTTATTTTCGGTGCACAAGCAATAAAATGTCACGGCGTGGCTGAAAGAGGCCAAAGAAGGAGTATGACATGAAAATGATGCCAGCTGGACAGTGGTTGGGGGGGAGCATCTGCCAGAGGAAAGGTCTCCTCTAGGGTTAGGGTTAGGAAAATGAGTGTGACTAAATTAAATAGAAATGTATCATGCGTGTTCTGAGGCAGCTTTATTTTTACTTTTTCAGTATTAACAACCTATAAAAAACAAAGGAAAACAGAAAGGCCAGGTATCTTACGGTCAGTGGTGATTTCGTAGGGTGAGTTGAGTCTCCCGTCACCACATGGTGAGGTGCTGATGTACATGTGGAAATGGACGTTGTCTCTCAACCTGTAGCCACACTCCTTGTGCCGCATGAATATCGACTCCTCCCAGTCCTCAGGGCTTTTACTTTGGTAGTGAGAAAAAGAAAAGATAAAAAAATAAAAATAAAAATAAATAAATAACAAGAATAAGGGAGACTGATGAAAAAAGGTAGCACCATTCATCACAGCATAGGAAACAGATTTCCACTTTTCTTTTCCAGTGATGAAGTGAGGCAGAGACGTGGAGAGATGGACACCGGCCCTCTCTGTGACCACAGCCCTTTCTCCTGCTGTCAGGGAGACTCCTGGACATTACTCAGGCTGTCCAAACAGCCCAGGGGAAACATGGGGGGGGGTTAACCTATGGTTCTGTACACGCTTTGCATTTGAGCCATGGAAGTGTCATCATTGGGGTCAACTAAATGATTGGCCGACATAAAAATAACACAAGAAAATGAGACACTGTATTTCCCATTATGAACGCAAGACGTCATTAAACAGTAACCAAGACTAAATCTCCACAAAATATTGTCACAAAACTAAAACAAACACTTTAATGAAATCTCTCTACATACTCATTGATGGAAAAAAAAGAGGAGACACATTGACACACAATTAATATTTGAAATAATCCGTATGTCCTTCTTTGAGTGGCTTCTCTGCACATTTCTCCCCCTGGGGGACCTGAATCATCTTCCTGGTGATTTTACACAGCAGCAGGGCACCATGAACGCACCACCAACAGTGCCAGCCCGGATGTAGCTTCTGTCTGCACTTTAACTCTACAGCTGTAAGAACTCGGATAACAGACAGTGACAAAAAAAAAGAAGAAAAAAAAAGAAAAAAAAAAGGTTGACATCTGGACCCACATCAAATATAACGCTGCCGAGAGAAAAAGATAGTGTGTAGTATTATCAGGAGAGAAGCAATGTGACTACAAAATCACAAACCTGTAGACACACCTCAAGGCACATCACACAGAAACTGACCTAACGTTACAATGTTCAATAAGATTACACTACTTTTTACTACGTTATGTATTAACATCTCACAGCTATGGGACATTGCTACATTGCTACATTGCTTGCAGATGGGTTTTTTCTTTTAACCTCCCTGAAAAGTCAGTGGCCTATCCGGCTAGGTCGGCTAACCTTTATTTAAAACGATTTTGTTGCTTGTCGACTAATCGTCTGATGACTAAAAAAGATGTTAAAACTAATATGTTTATTCTTTGTTCTTTGACTAAGATGACGTGGACTTTTGACCTCAAGACAAAGGAAAGACAAAAATTTGCCCGTGGTTGTGTGTTAAGATGCAACTGTGCTAGATGATGATGTTTCACCTTGAGCCAAACACCTCGTGTTTATCCCAGGGCTTCATGAACCTGCTGTCACTTCATAAACATACAGAGACCAGAGAAAAAGGATTGAGACCGGACAAAAATAAAATAACTGAATAAAAAAGGGGTTCCCATGTTCTGAGGGCTAACACACGACCACAGCCAGAAATGGTGCACACTTTAGCTAGCTAACCTTACAGCTAACATCTGTCAGCTGTTATAGTGAATAAACTGGTTTGCGGTAAATAAAAACAGAATTCAGCAGTTCAGCAGTTAAATTCACGCAAAAACACATAGCAAAGAATTTACTTTGATTTCTGTCTGAACACACCTGACTGCTGTCTGTATATATACTCTAACAGGACACACTAGATAGACATGATTCATTAAAAAAGAGATGCTGACTTTTTAAAATACAAAATCAGTCTGATGGATGAGTGATCAAATAAAGGATAAATCAGGTGTTTAGAAACGTTTTTTTTTCCCATTCAGAGATGAACTCTTGCAATATGGCCAACATGGCAAATCCACAAAATGGGGTTACTGTTTGTGCTGTGTGCAGGAATAAGGCGCTCACACACACAAGTTCATACACATAATATATGTAAACTATGCATCACAATGCAAAGCACGACTGCACTCTTTACATAACCTCTCCTCTGTCTCCGATGTCCTTTCACTGAGTGTAAATATGGCAGTTCTGGCATTTTGTTTGGTCATTTCATTATGAGTTATCTTCCCCCATTAGCCATTTTACTCAGCTGCAAAGTCTCTGTACCTGCCATCCAGCATTGTGCTAAGACAAAAAGTCAGTGCTGTGTATGCAAATATGACATTCAACGATCTAGACTTCTAGCCACTAATCTGATGAATCAGCCTTGCTATCGAGCTCCTCCGGGGAGCTCAAAAACATAATATATGCTTGTGCACTGGAGGCAGTTAGGAGTCAAAACTCATCAAGACTGTCTCTTGACACTGGTAAAAAATCTTTGGGAAGAGTGTGTGTGTACCAGAGCACGTTGTACAGGTTGCAAAGGCACAAAAAGTATGTACATTTAAAAAAGCACTAAAAACAAATAGGCTATTGAGACCCTGAGCTGAACCAGTTGAGTGTGATAGTATGCTTAGTTAGCTGGAGAGGACGGTGCACATATGGCTCGTTGATTATTGAAAAGTCTCTGGTGGACAAAGCATGGCTGTTTCCAAGCTTATTATAGAGGAGAGAGCATTTTTGGCACTGCAGCAGGAGGTCACAACAAGCACGATATTTAATGTTACTAAGCATAGTGTAATGCATAATGTAGTGTAATGCATGCTAAAACTGTTGCAGGCACCTTGGAAACTTTACTCAAGTACTAACTGAGGGACTTCAACTTCATTCCCATTTTTCTGCCACATTATACTTATACTCATGGTCATAGGTTTGCATATGGACGGTAGGGACATGTCCGCCCGAATATTATAATACAATATATCAGTGCTGTCAGTCCATACATGGGCGAAAATGTATCATCTCAGATGACTCCCCTCTCTGTGTTGCCTGAACTTCACTTTGTAGATATCATGCCACCGAAAAAAGAGACATCAGGAGCATTTTCATTATCCATAGTAAGTAATAGGTGAAACTATCTAGCTTGTAGCCACATTGAAAACCTGCTAGCTTTCTAAGATCACGATCTGTTGGTCACCCCAAGGACAAGGTTTGTGATTGAGGGTGACTGGGCTATTAGAGCCCCGGCACTCTGGAACTCTCCCCCAGCTGAAATCAGATGCTCTACCTCATTAACTTCCTTTAGATCTCTTCTTAAAATGCATTTCTCTGTCTTAGCCTTTGGTTATGTTTGATGTTGTTTTTTGCTGTATCCGTAATTATTGTTTATACATATTTCATTGCCTGTTTTCACTCAGATCCTTTTGCATAATGTTGATATATATGTTTTTATTTATTCTCTTTTACTATGGTCAGGGTCTTTGACCTTTTCTTTTATCTGTTTTAATTTTTTGTGAAGCACTGTAACTTTGTTAAGAAAATTTATAATAATAATAATAATAATAATAATCATTATTATTATTATTACCACCCTTACATTATAAGATTGTTAATACTGGATTAGCAGCATTTTACTGTTGTAGCAGGTCAAGGTGGAGCCAGTTTTCAATGTGAAATCAAGGGGAAAAGGGGAACTGTTTTGGAGGTTGTTGTATCCCGACCAATGTTCAGACCAAACCTACGCCCTTGCTTATACTCCACTGTGAAGGCAAATTGTAGCCTTTTCTCCAATATATAAATACAGGTTACTCAGGATGAGGATTTTACACAAAAAAATTATGATCATCTTATAAAATGAGATGCCACTGTTGTAAATGAAACCACCAAAATCCTGCTTACGTGTTTAGAAATCAGTGATAATGATCAAATTCAATGATACAAAATGATGTAACTTTGAAGAGGCCAAAATAATGCATTATGGGTACTTAAATAAACAAACAAAATTTAAAGAATCCACCATTCATGTTGTCCTTCTGGCTAAAATGCTGTAGTTTTCTTCCAAATCAGATAAATGCATATGATCAGCAAAGAAGCAAAATTGGTCAGTAATGATCCAGAAGACCAATTGAGTGCTTCAACTGAGCGATGTTATCTGGCTGTTTCGGGGAATTGAGGATGTAAACACCATAGAGACGTCAGAGCTGCAGAAAGTAGAAGTAAAACACTCTGAAGATAAATCTATTACCTTAAGAAGAGTTCAAGTTGTGAGTAGAGGAAGCGTAGCAGGGCTCTCCGGGCCGTGACTTCAGCGTGACAGTCATTGACCACCTGTCCCTGGTCACTCAGATACTCCCCGTTTATGCACTTGGTGCCCGTGGATAACGCCACCACCTGGGCGTGCCGCAGGTCCAGGCCTGTTGAGCAAACACACACAGACAAACATTCGCCTTACTGTGCCTGTTATATGTTCCATTGACTACATTGATTTCTTGATCCAGGAGCTTAATAATATCCCTCAGTGTTTAATACCTAATGCATGTCCTTTTGTCATGATTAAGAAACAAGTCCAGCCGCGCATGCAGACATCACAGGAGGAAAATGCATATGAGATTTCTTTGCTGAATTTAACATGAAACCAACGCTAAGGTGGCCAAAGGTGAATCACATCAGGGTGCTCAGACAATAAAAGTAACTAGTGTTTCTGTCTGTAATATATGTACTTATGCATAATTGATAAAGACTCGTCTAGCCACATGAATAAATCATATGTTCAACTTCAAGCTACATAAATCACACAGAGGTAGCCTGTAGAAGACATCTTTCATCTATCCAGTTTTTGTGTTGCATTATATGTTGCATTATATTCTGACTGGGCAGAAGTATTGTATAATATTACAGGTAATATTACAGGTTTTGTTTTGCACCATTGTTAATTGTTTTTTTTTTTATTTGCACTGATGTTTTTTTCATGTCATTGTTTTTTTTCTCATTGTTGTAACAGCAACATTGTCCTTATGGTGTTTTTGTCCTTTCCCTGTCCTGTCTCCCCTGTAGCTCCGCCCAGGCTAGTCCAGATTATTTCATGAGATCCGCCTGGCCTGGGAAGAAGGGGTTAAAAGCTCTGGTGGCGGAATCAGAGGGAGAGAGGCTTCTAGCATGACTGCAGGTTTTGCTGACTCTCAGCCTGTGGTTTATTTTGTGTTCTGATTTTGGTATCTTTTGTTGTCTTACTTGAGTATCCTGGTCATTTTGCATCTTCATTATTTTAAAAGTGTCTTGTGAGTCTGATTTGGGTCACTGGTGGAGTGTTGTGCACCCCTTAGGTTTGTTTTGCACTGGTTGTGTGTTCTTTGTTGTGTATTTGTGTATTTTTTAATGTCTACTCTATATGCCCTTTAAATTGCCCCCTAGTCATAAATTAAGTTCATTGAATTGAACTGAACTGTATCTTGAATATTTTTAGAAAATGGAGCTACAGATGCCACAAGGCTTTTTCTACAGAGGCTCAGGGTGTCTCCAAACACCACAGTAGTAACAGTTTAGACAGCTTGGCCAAAGAAAGTATTAAATATGCATTTAGCATATTTGTGTAAAAAGAAATGCCCCAACATTACTTTGTATAAAATATTTTCATGCCAAGCAACTTTGTAGTAAAATCAAATAAAATCAAAGACAGGCATTGATAAGATACATCATTTTGTCAGGAGACTCTTTGAAAAAAATGGAAAAATAGAGCTCAGACTGAGGTTGATCTCATCTATCACAGTGAAAAATCACAACAGAAAAGGAAACATAACAGGAGAACAGGGTAAACGGGAGTTATTTCCATAACCACAGTTCTCTGAATAGCATGAGCGAGCGTCTCTTCAGGAGCTCCTATCACACCTCACCAACCAGGATTAGCTGGAGGAGTGAGGGAGGGAAGAGGCCACTCCACCTGACCCACCATGCCTTCTCATTCAGCAGCACACGGGACTGGGCCGAGTCTAAAACCAGAGGGGACGAAGGAGACCTTTTCTCCACATGTACTCTGAAGCCTGAGCTCAACAGATCCAGCTCCTCTCTGTGATTCTGTGTTGGCTTTACAGGTGCTGCAATAAGCCAATCTTTGACATAAGCAGCCACAAGCATCTGTAGCCACCTGAGTTGTCTTTCTCCAATCTCAGTACATTTTAGATACAGATAATTTATCATCTGAGGAGCAAACCTGATAGGTCTTCTATGGATGCTATACTGGGATGCAGATATATGGGATAGCATCCATGACACTAAATGTACAATCATAAGGGTGTAGAAAACACAGACTCACTCTCAATGTTCAAGGAGGCAATCAGTATAACTTCTTTATACACAGTACACAAATCTGTTTTCAGTTTTTGGACTATTCTCTGATCTTTTCTTTTTATACTGTATCACAAATAGAATATCATATTATATTGGATAACTTGAACAGATACTAAAAGGAAACCATGAGAGAGAAGAAATGTCTCTTTGGTGGAACTGAAAATCTGAAACATGACGAGCCTTGCACAGACACTGCTTTTTTGAAAAAGGTTTGGTATTATAATTTATAAGTTTAGCATTTGTTTTTGTAAAGTCAAATCTTAATGAATTAAAGCAACTGACGTCTGCAGCTGTCAAATAAATGTAGTGCAGTAAAAGTATTGGAGTACCTGAGTAAGTACCTCATCAAGCACCCTTGAATAAAAGCATTATATTGTGAAACACATGCTTAAGAATATAAAGGTGATATGATGGTGTGGTGTCAGCTAAATTAGGGGCCGTCTAATGACAAATGTGCAGATGATGCTGAGGCATGATACAAATGCAATAAGAGAGGTCACAGATCACAAGTCATCCCGTCCCGTGTTGGTTTTCTCTTTTCTTGGGGAGGATTAAGGCTAGTGCAGGGCCATGTGAGAGCTCGGCTGACTGACAGATAGATAGGGGTGGGGCTGTCTGGATCAGCACGTTAACGGCATGCCATTCCTTCCTTGGCTGCCACAAATCTCTCCCATCGCCTCTGAAAGTCAGGCTTCGCTGGCTCCTGGCAGACCCACAGGCACCGCCGGCCCGGCACATGAGCTTTTATCAGCCTCGGCCCAGATGGCACTGTGGCGGTAGAGTCCTGACAATGGAAGGAGGGCAGGGGAGGAAAAGATTGAGGAAGGGAGGAGTGTGTGTGTGGTGTGTGTGTGGACAGTTGAGAAAAAAGAGCATATAGAGGAAGAAAGGAAAGAGTAAGGTAGAGTGGAATGAGTTCAACTTTTCCTCCAGAAACTACAGAGGAAAACAATTAATGTTCCTCTTAAAATTTCAATGATCCAATGTTTTTCTCTTAAAACAAATAATCAAATTGATGACATGAAATGGGATAAATGTACTGTATATAGATCATGTGTAACAGCGTAAGTCATTAGGTGCTTATTTACACTTCCAGCCAATATGAGGCAACATTATCATTAATTTGAAGTCATGTTTCTGGCCATGTGATAAATGTAAGTCCAATATTGATTCTCCTTTTGGCTCTGTTTTGCTCTCAGTGGGTTTCTAGAGCTTCATCTCTGAAAACAGCTGCCTGCTGCTGCCGAAAACAGATCTACGAGAACGAGGAGATGAGAATGAACCAAAACAGTCAAGCCTGAAAACCAAAACAATGAGCTGAAAGATGCAAAAATTCTTGATGATGATCAGCTGTGGTTTCATCACTACAAATGACACCTTTCACATACACGTAGTGAGTGTTTCTATCATTTCCCTACAACCTCTCTCCTTGTTCCTCTCCTCTCTGCATGTTTGGAAGCAGATTCATAAAGCCCCGGCATATGGCCACATTTTTCACTCAAGTTGACACAATTTCAATTCACGCAGTGGAGCCTTCATGTGAGTTAGCATGTCTCTGGTCCACTCGCGTGACCTCTCAGTGATCAATCGTGCCACCTTTAAAATCTGCTTCTTGTCCTGTCTGAACACACAGTAATACTGTATCCTTCAGTCTGATTAAAAATGAACTGTATAAGAGGCTGCCAGGAGTTTTTGACAAATTTCTTTTTCCACATGAAAAGTTAAAACAAGCCCTAAAGCAACACATACATTCATTCACTTTTTGTTTTACTAGCATCACATCTTTGTCAGGGTGTGAACAAGTAACTAACAGAATGATGTGTATACTGTTTACACAGCCATAGCATCATAATGTGCACACTATGTGCAGTGATCAATTAAAGGTCCCATATTTTACACTATTCCTGTGTTTTATTTGAAGTGTTGTGACATGAGAAGATATATTTGTGGTTTTAAGAACCAAAAACCATCTCAGTGTAGTTTTACATCTCTCTCAGGCTTCTCTCTGGAGCTCTAGCAGCGATAGGTTCAGGCTCTCTCTCAACAGGCTCAGAGCTGCTCTTCTGATTGGCCGTTGCCGGTAACATGCTGCCTGCGTCTCTGCTGCACCGCTGTTGCTGTCAGCTTTATCTCTCTACATACATCTCTCTACTCGATTGTTGGATTTCTTTTCTTTATAGATTTATTTCTTAATCACTTTACACAAAATACGACCTTTAAATGTCAACACAACAGCTAGATAATGTCTACCGACACTTAATATAAGCTTCTTAAAGCATCTTTCCGATATTTCTGTTGTAGCTATCACTAAAAACTGAAAGTCTAGGAAATAAAACAGGCTGAATCTACTGTACTACTGCACACAAAACATTCAATATTTACAGTAACATAAAAATCTCTATATCATGAGTTCAACGATTGGTATTCCTGTAAGCAGTACGCCACAATTCCTTCTCGGCGATAAGGTAAGTTCAAAAAGGTAACAGACTCTCCCAATTTCATTCTCCTGCTTTTCCTTACCGTTCCACTTTGCGATTGTTTAGATCAATTTTGCAGTGGATAATTTCTGCTGCGCTGCTCGCTACCCTGCCATGAAATTGGCACTGAGGTTGCCTTCAGTTTGCAGGCGAGAGGAGAGGAGGAGGAGGAGAGATGAATGAAAGACAGAGAGAAACAGAGAAAGAGATAGGTGGAGAGAGAGAGAGCCACAGGCAGGGGTGCTGTTTTTAAACCAGGAATAATCAGCTGCATCACAGAAATACAAAAAGAAAGGGTCAAAAGGAACAAGGTAGAGTAGAGTCAAAGGCCTGAGGCACTCTTCACACACAAATACATCTGTTGATCACTAGTGATTCAAAGATGTCACACCTCAGGATAACAGCACTGTCGAAAAGCATGTACATCACAGACTGAGACCTGCAAACCACTCGCTCTGGCAACTGCACTATACTCCTCAGCGCACAATAATGTCAGCGGTCCTAAACAAGAAGACAAAGCACACACCGCCTCACTATGGCAACTCAGGAGGTAAACACACTTTGTGACAGCACATGGCGCAGAGACTTTTTCT